CAATGTCTCGCGGACACTTACTGCAGCGTCTGGCGTCTCGTGGTTAGATTTGGTCCCCTTACCGGGCCAGTGAAAGTTTCAGTGCCTGAGACGCACTAGGCGCAACAGGCCATTCATTCTAGGCAATTTTTTCGCCTTCAATTCGGATGCTTTTTTAGTTGCCCTTGAGTTTAATGAATTCCTGAGCGCTGCGTAACCTGTTGCGAGTGATCCTAGACGTTGTGCAAAAACTGAATACTTGCCATGCAGAACTAGTCCATAATAGCTGACCAGCCAAACATACCTGACATGAAATGCTGGTGTTATAAAATTACTGGACAGACCGAATATATGGATACTTATTGTCGGGATATATATTTTGCACACCAGCTGTGTAAACTTGACAAGTAAACCTGCACTGCAATCTATCTTCGGTGACCTTATCTACGTAAACTTGCTGTGTAAACCTTCACTCTGTAGACCTGTGCTCTGTAGACCTGTGCTCTGTAGACCTGTTCTCTGCATATCTGTACTCTGCATATCTGTACTCTATTGACCTGTACTCTGTGGACCTGTGCTCTGTACACCTGTTCTCTGCAGGCCTGAACTCCATACACCTGTACTCTGGACACTTGTACTCTGCAGACCTACAATTTGTACATGTGTTCTCTGTAGACCTGTACTCTGAAAACCTGTACTCTGTAGACCAGTACTCTAGACACCTGTACTCTGTAGACCTGTGTTCTGTAGACCTACAATTTATACATCTATACTCTGCATGTAGACCTGTACTCTGTAGACCTGTATTCTGTACATCTGTACAGAATACTAAGGATACTCTATAGGCCTGTATTCTATAGACCTACCGTTCCATCAACCATATGTGGTCTTATGCTGCCTAGCCACACCAGATCAACACGGCATGTGGCCCTATGGTCAGCAAAGATGCTGTGCATATATGGCGCTCAGACTGCTAACATTATCATATGGAATTCAAACATGTAGAGCGGACACGTAACTTGGAGTCAGCGTCTGCAAACCTGCTGTTCACGCGTCTCATAATCCGATTAAAACTTCACACTCAATTTTAAAAAAGTCCCTCTGCAAATATAAGCAGAAAAAACACATGTTAAGAAGAATATTTCGGTGTACAGAGGATATTGTACACCAACTTGTCAGGTGTTCAAAGGTGTTATAGATTGTCATCCTGGCATGACATAAAAAACATATTTTACAATTCTTAAAATTACATACGAGTATTGATTATATTAGACTAATCAATCATCTAGTCGTAACTTTTCGAAATCATTTTTCTCTTTTGAAGGATAATCCCTCTAACGATAATCATCTCCAATAACGATAATCTTAAATATTAAAGTAATTCAAAGTTTATAGAGAAAAATATAATTCTCTAAAATTCTTCAAAGTCAATTTAAAAAAAATAATAATCTTTTCAATGAAATAGAAGTCATTTTATAATATTGAACATGAATATATAAACTCATATATAAGAAAGTGCTTAGGTCAAGTAATTTTAAGTCTGTACAAGTCGTACGACGAGGCTCCCGTGGGCTGAGTTTACTTCTTTACTTCTTGATTATTTAGCACGACAATACATGCTTTTTGCGACATACTTTGTGATGTATGCACTATTTTGACAATAAAAAACTATATAAGTAATATTGATACTATGTTGAAGCATATAATTACGGGAAGAACTACCCAGCAGAACTTGACTAATAGAAAATGCCAATTGCATGAGTTTAATTAATTTAAATAATTCAGATTTTTTGCTCATGTATCCTTATAACAGAAGTCACAGCTGTTCGATTTCACCTGAGTGAGCTGAGCTCAAACTCACTGATAGCCATCAAAGTTCACAGTGAATTGAAGATCACTACAAAGAACATAATGAGTTAAATATATGCAGGAAAATCTTATCACTGTCACCAATTATCTATGAATAAGAAGCGTGTTCATATCAATAGAATACGTTACAGAAAATTGAAGGTCACGGCATGTAAACGTAGCGCAGTTAATGCTGGTGAAAGTTTTCGTTTTGAGTTTGAAAGGCTAAGGCTTGATAAATGAATGAACGGGAATATATCCCCAGAAAATATTAAGCTCAAATCATGGCAAAAAGTTAGGTCAATTTAGCTGTTCATCAAATTAAAGAATTAAAGAAATTAATTAAATTAAATTAAAGAAATTATTATTAATAAAATTAATAAAATTAATAAATCCTTTTTGTTGCAATGGTGAATGTGGGAGGCCTTTAAAAAAATAAAATAAAATATATAAAATAAAAAGAAAAAAATTAAAGAAAACGCAGAACTCTGTGCTTGGATTTGATGCGCGTCTCCATGTTCGACAAATGAGATCAAGCAATACAAGGAAGATTGCATCTCAGTTCGAGTTAATTGGGTCACACGAATTACGCTGCGCTGAGGTAGTAAATGATAAAAAAATATAACTCAGTACTCACTGCAGTGAGTGACAGCTAGAGGGCGCATTTTCTCGTCGACGAAAACTTGAGGTCACGGACAGACGGACGGACAGACGGACAGAAGGACAGACAGACAGACGGACGGACGGACATGGTGAGCACAATAGTGCATTTTTCCATAAATGAAAAAATGCGCTAAAAATGTTGAAGAAAAATTAATACCAAAAAAGGTACCTAAAAAGTTTCTAGAATTTCAATGAACTCGCGGGAATTTAGATATTTGGTCTTGGGTGTTCATAGATTGAAAGTTTCTAAATATTTTCGCTGTTATGAAGTCTGTGCGGTGATTGACAGAAAAATCAATGTCGTTGTCGCCTTCAACGAATTTGAATAGTTGGGTAGAGTTTAATTTAGTTTGATCTGTCTTGCTGTTGTTGCCTGTAAATTTCAATTTTAATTTGGTTAAACATGCCAAAAATGATATCACAATATTTCCATAAGCAATGGAGGAAGCTACATAGATGGTAGCTTATATAAAGTACCTGAAATGATAAAGATTAATGAATTTACTGCTCCTCATCGACAAATGCTTCTTCAGTCGCCAGCAGTCACTCCATGAATCTGCTTCCTTGTCATGTTTTGGCAGAGTAGGAATTATTTATGTGATAAACTGGCTACCTTGGAATAAACAGGTATCAAAGTAATATGAAATATAATACCCGGCAAACAAATTGCTTGCCGTGATATCAAGAGGTTACGTTAAAATAACATTTGATGCAACGATAAAGTAACACCGCCTGAAAATAATGCACTTCAAGACAAATTAAAATAACCAAATTAGACTCAGGTCCCTAGTTTGTTGTTGGCCCATTGATTTTAACAAATGAATGTTAATTAGTTCAGGCTCTGTGGTAAGCTCGATTCATTGAGAATACAATGCAATGACAGAGGTGCATTGTTAATAATAATGAATAAATTGTTATTACACAGCCACTTGTAAGAGATAGTCATGAATGGACTAGAACTGAATCAAAAATTATTACATGTCGATTAATTATCAATTGAACTCCGCATTTAAGATGCGAAATATACCGCATATAAATATCAATTAATTTACTTATATTTCATTAAAAAATTAGACCGTCTTGTAAATTAATATTTCTGCACGAAATAACAAATAAATACGGAATTTTGGGTTATTTTCGACTTCAAAAACACGGTTGAAAACTCCCCGCGTCGAGGGAAAAAATAGATGATCACATCGTGAAAGGTAAGAGAGTTCATCCACGAGAGGAAGTGAAGGGAAACCTGTTAGCAAACAGTAGAGATGCTTGGGTAAAAGGAAAAGGCTTCTTTGCGAAAAAGAAATAAAAAATTCTTAATCACGCGCGAGAAAAACTGGCATTGAGTGCTCCTCCAGATCGCCTTTAGGAGAAATGAATTGCAGTTTAAGGTCAGGAAATGGCCGAGTGGTTGAAAGCAAGCTGAACCTTCACGAGTTATACATTAGCTGAGTATTTATAGTCTATGTTCTAATAGGTGAGTATGACGATAGCGTTATGCATTAGCTGAGTATTTATAGTCTATGTTTTAATATGTGAGCATGAAGATGGCGTTATGCATTAGCTGAGTATTTATAGTCTATGTTATAATAGGTGAGTATGAAGATGGCGTTATGCATTAGCTGAGTATTTATAGTCTATGTTCTAATGGATGAACATGAAGATGGCGTTGCGCATTAGCTGAGTATTTATAGTCTATGATCTAATGGATGAACATGAAGATGACGTTATGCATTAGCTGAGTATTTATAGTCTATGTTCTAATGGGTGAGCATGAAGATGGCGTTATGCATTAGCTGAGTATTTATAGTCTATGTTCTAATGGATGAACATGAAGATGACTTTATGCCTTAGATGAGTATTTATAGTCTATGTTCTAATAGGTGAGTATGAAGATAGCGTTATACATTAGCTGAGTATTTATAGTCTATGTTCTAATGGGTGAGCATGAAGATGGCGTTATGCATTAGCTCTCTATAAATAGTCTATGTTCTATCTATCTATCTAGAAAACTGGCGTTTTCAAGACATAAATGGCTTGTTTTGCTTCTCAATTGTACGTAACAAATGTAAATAAATCTATAGAAGAAAAAAGGAATGCGAAAGAAGTTTTTGTGAAACAGTTTCTTGATTATGTGCACAAATTATTGTCTAATAATATAGTAAGACTTAGTGCCTTAAATAGTTTTTTGTTCATGATAGGAGAATTGAATGCTATAAAAAAATTATAATTGGATAAAATTATATTACCAAGTTATGAATAGGAAGATTTAGTGTTATAAATATAAAATTTATAGAGTAGGAAGACTTAATTCAGAGAATAAATGACGTTGTTGGAAATTCGAAAATTGTGTTCTAGAGTTAAATTCATTTGATAAAAGTAGGAACACCAGAGTGCGTTAAAAAAACAGAGGAAAAAGCAATGTTCTTTTATCTCAGCAACAAGCGGAGAACTCGCGCGCCTGCTTGTACTTCATCTCCTTAAATGGAAGCGAGTTCGGCATCTGGACGTACCTCTACTGCAGCTGACACTTGCTGCACCTGCTGCACCTGATACTTGTTGCACCTGCTGCACCTGATACTTGTGTACCTGCTGCACCTGACACTTATGGCAGTGGTCGCACTTGACACTTTGAGTGCAGCTGCTGCGTTTGGTTTTTACTGCATTTGCTGAGTCACTGCACCAGCACTCTGTCCATAGACAGTATTGGTAGCTTTATAAATAATAATCTTATTGCCTGATTGCGAGCTGAATAACAATGCATTGGAGCAAAATACTATAATTTTACAAAAAAAAATACATTTTGTAATAATTTTACAAAATACTATAATTTTACAAATTACAAAATTAACTAGGTAAAAATTAATTAGTTAATTCTAGGAATCACTCCAGCGATTACTTTACAAGCTTTATTGAATATTCTCTTCTACTTTTTTTATCAGACTAATGCATACATTTTGAACATGTAAATTGCAAAAAAATTAATTAAGGTCAGCCTTAAGTTTAGAAGCTTAAAATATTCAAAGAAATTCCCAAAATCAATCATCGTATGATAATCGTAACCTGAAATTAAGATCAACGAATCCACTATCAGTTGCACCGTGTCGATAATAGTGATAGATTAGTGAAAGGCCTGATAGTGAAATAAACAAAAGCTATTCGGCTTCTTGAAGTTGAAAATCTCAAATTAGGAACTTTTGAACGATTGTTTCCAGGAAAATTTTAAAAGAAGTTTAGAACAAATAGGATTTGTGATGTAATTTCGCCATATGAAATAGAAGCCAGGGCACCGGACGAAGGGGCACCGGACGCATCTGACATAGAAGCCAGGGCACCGGACGCATCTGACGAGGGCACCTGACGAGGGCACCTGACGAGGGCACCTGACGAGGGCACCTGACGAGGACACCTGTTGAGGACACCTGACGAGCGCACCTGACGAGGGCACCTGACGAGGACACCTGACGAGGACACCTGACGAGGACACCTGACGAGGGCACCTGACGAGGGCACCTGACGAGGACACCAGACGAGGGCACCTGACGAAAGCATTTGACAAAGGCACCTACGAGGGCACCTGACGAGGGCACCTGACGAGGGCATCTGACTAGGGCACCTGACGAGGACACCTGACGAGGGCACCTGACGAAGGCACCTGACGAGGGCACCTGACGAAGGCACCTGACGAAGGCAGATGACGAGGGCACCTGACGAAGGCACCTGAAGGTCTAAGCGGCGGGCCATCATCGGTGACGAATTTTCAAGGTCTGCGCGGCCAGAGGCAGCCGTCTTCTGAGCGTCGCTCAGTCCGAGACTGGAGCCTGTGCAACACGCAGTCTGTGGCAGCCTGTGCAACACGCAGTCTGTGGGAGCCTGTGCACCACGCAGTCTGTGGCAGCCTGTGCAACACGCAGTCTGCGGTAGCCTGTGCAACACGCAGTCTGTGGCAGCCTGTGCAACACGCAGTCTGTGGGAGCCCTGTCTCTTATACACATCTAGATGTGTATAAGAGACAGCAGTAATGCTGTCATCATGCGTGTTCTGAGGATGAGTATGCAGTAATGCTGTCATCATGCGTGTTCTGAAGATGAGTATGCGTATTGCAGGAACTGTTTTGCGGCCTCCACGCAAGTTTTCGGCTCTCCTCCACGGCCAAAATACAGGAGTGACTCGTAAGACTTGTCATTAATTCATTAGCGTTCATTTCCGGGAAAAGTTTCCCTATTGATGCGCGCAAGGAAGTCGGATTTTTGTTTTCCAGCTTGAAGGTTATACACTAGGAACTACTTAGTTCATAATTTATTGTAAAACTACCACAGATAATTAAAGAAATTAACCATTTTACTCGAGAAAATGAGGAAGGATTGATTATCTGAACCTTTGCACCTCTAGGCTGTTGACTTAATCACTAACACGTAATGTGACCTTCGCATACAATTACTTGGCTGAATTTATTTTATCAGTTGAGTGAATAAACCATGCAAGTGAATACATTTATTGCGTCCTACTTCCCTGCATTATTCAGGGAAGTATTACTACTTTGATCCCTTCATTGCTGGTAATTCGTCTCTAAAGTAATTTTTGGGATAAAAAAATAATCCTCGTAATTTTGGTCAAATGTAATTATTAATTTGATCATCAGAAGATCGATGAAATATCAATTTTAGGACCTGCCATCGGTGACAATCGTTCTTTTTCCTTCACTTCCTATTTAACAGACGATGTAAAAAATAGTGTCACACGGCCAGCATAAATCGCACTATTGTCGATTTCTATTGCAAAAAAGTGAACAAAATTGATAAGTAAATCAATTAAAGGTTCAATAATTCTTATCAAAAGCGCGACATTTGCCGATGATCTCAATTATTCTACGTAACGACCCTGAACTTGTGGAGACGTCCAGAGAAAGCAGCGCCAGCAGCAGCGCTGAGGCGGCCGATAGCAGCAGTTAGCGTTAGGCGTTTTTAATTGAGTGGGCAGGCATTAAAGGGTGCTCTTAATTGAGTGGGCAGGAAGCGTGGGGCATATGTGGATGGGAAGTAAATGGATCGCTCTTAATTGAGTGAGCAAGGAGATAATTGAGCAGTGAGTGGGCAGTGATGATAGGGCGCTTTTAATTGAGTATATATAGGTAGTGTTGATTGGGTGCCCAATAGTTGAGTAGGTAGTGTTGATAGGGCACTCTTAATTGAGTGGGCAGTGTTGATAGGGCGCTCTTAATTAAACGGACAGTGTTGATGGATAAACATAAGCACTGGATAAGCGTATATTATAGTGCACCCTTGATTTACTAATCACAGGGTATTGGGCATTCATAACTTTTCGTGGGTAGTGGATTTTAGCATTTCTTAATTTAGTGGGCAGTGCTCATAAAATATCGATTGTAGTGTAATTAAAATAGGACTTTTTTATTATATTATAAGAAGAGATTGATATAGACATGATATAGACACAGTAATAAGGGAAATTCCTGTAGGTTTATAATGCATTAATTCGAGTAGTGTAATTTTTACCAGAAATTTGAAACGTGCTGGCGCTATGAAGGGTACGATCGCTAGTACGAATATCGGTACAACTGGGTTAAAGTATTAAATTATTAAAAATTCAGCAACGAATATCATTTCCTATCAGGATTGGCTTTCAAAAATTATATCAGTACCTTTGAGATAAAACCATCAAAACTATCGCTTGAAATTTGTTTTAGCAACCAAATGTCGCGAAAATATTGTTCCATGCCTACTAACTGGCATTGGGAATTTTTTTAGATTTTGGAATCGGGATGCCCTTGAGTAATGTATACAGTTTTGAAGTATGAGCTCGTAGTTTGAATCTTCTGAAAGTGGCCTGTCCTCCCAAACTAATGCGATCGACCAAACCATAAAATCACGGAGGTGCTAAAACGATTTTCACGATTGAATCAATATTCTTTAACTCTTTAATTGTCCACAGCTTCCGCAATGCCGAAGTTGTCCAGCAGTGCCAGGAGTTCCTTAATATTTCATATTCGGTGACCTCGACCTCGCAGCGTCAGCACAATTTGCTTCCATCGCAAGCTTTCAGAAGAATCAATATTTATATATACATGTATGTATGTATAATTAAAGGACATACACTAAATTAAATGTATTAATTAATTGAACTCTAATACATTAAAATTAAATTATTCATATTTATTTTAAAATATCACTTTGAAATTTCCTAGCCGGGAGTTTTTTGCTTGAACTTTGCACATATGTTCGAGACTTCTTAGAGAAGACGGACTGTGGTTTACGTGTATAATTGATTCAAATAAATAACTTAGTCAAGCATTCAACTGAAGGTGGCATCCACATGCATGCGGTTGGTGCATGTGGTGATATTTTACTCATCGTATCATATAGCCTGCGCATCATTGCGCCAAAATCATCACACTCAGAAAACGACTGAGTCATATTGTTCATATCATGGCGCATTTCCTGCATGTTGCACTGATTATAATTTTTAGTCGGGCCAAACTGAGTCAAGTAATCCATACAATGGTAAAAACTGCATCACTATTTGGACTCATATATTTCTCTGAGTATACATCACATTAGCATCACACCATCACAGGATCTCAGCACGGCCAGGGCGTGCGTGAGCCATGATGAGTGACTACAGTAGTCACGCATATTCGTGACCGTCACGCACCCGCGTCATGCGTCGTTGTCCGTTTTCAATGCGCATTATGCATCTATTTGGGGTTCCTACGCATGTTATGCATCAATATGCGTTTCTTACGAATGTAATTCATAGATTTACGTATCCCACGCTCATGTTTCTATAATATACTTTTCCAACACATCTTATGCATCGATCGATGTACGAATCCCATGCAATCTAGGCTAAGTTTATTAAGATGCTTTAATTTTGTCCCTTAAGTACGTCCTGCACAAATTCTCTGACTCGCTGCAAAATACTCGCAGCAGCAATATTCAAAATTAAGGTGCCCAAAACGAATAATACGGAATATAAGACTGAGTCCGATCATGTTTGAAAAAAAAAACAATAAGACACTTCCAGTCTAACATAAAGGTTTTCATATTTATTAAATAAGTTGCGGTTTCAGAACTCGTCTAAAAAGGAATTTCAACCGTAATTTGAGTAGGGATTAATATATTTTAAGGACCCGCAGCTCAGCATAAAACGACGAATGCAAGCATTCTGCGGTGAAATGAACTTGACACGCACTTCGTCGAGCTTCAGTTGTGTTAAGTAAGACTCTTATCTATAGGGAACGCACGAACATGTACAGTGTATTTGACTCGAATACATTTAAACGCTCATAAAGATAGGTAAAGTATACAATGCACCAATGAATATACATAATAAATAAACCATATAATTAAGAATCGGATTAACAGACAATGTGTAATGTATTAGCAATCGGATTAACAGACAATAATGTATATAGAAATCATCTACATTATTCATCTTAAATCAAATAATATTGTTTAAATCATCAGTGAACATAAAAATTATGACATATCACTAGATCTTTTTAGCGCATTTTTTCATTTATGGAAAAAAATGCACTATTGTGCTCGCCATGTCCGTCTGTCCGTCTGTCCGTGACTTCACGTTTTCGTCGACGAGAAAATGCATTCTCTGTCACTCACTGTAGTGAGTACTGATACTGATATAATTTCAAGTGTGAATGTGCAGCAATCAATATGAGTTTGGATTGGGAAATATACTCATTGTTCAAAATTATCCAAATATAACTGTATCAATATTGCATTTGATCTTTCTAAATTGTCTCGAATAAATTCTACTTTTAAAACATGTACCTATAAATAGCGATAGATTTAGCGATTGTATTCCAAATATGTTTGAAATCAAAAGAAGTAGCAATAAGCCAGTAGTTGATCGTTTTCAAATCAACATATGATCTATTCATGAAGTTAAATGGGGAAATTTTTATATTATTAGGAATAATGGTGATGGCGTCAGAAAAGTCAATAAATGTTGCACCTGACCTATAATATAGAGTTTTTACGGTTTTAACCAATCTATTTGAGTTTCTGCCAAAAAGAAAATAATGAGATTCACACTTTCTCGTTCCCGCGAGCGTTTTCTGTTGCTCGCTCGTTTTCTACAGTAAACACGCAAGGTCTGGAGATATGAGTGCTTGTCGGCATGAAGCTCAATAAGATTATCATTAAATTATAGATAGAACAGCATGAACCTTTCATTCACAATGAATTATTGCTTTTATATCAATGAAATTGTTATTATTCATAACGGTTTATTCTTGCAGATTTCTCTCGTGTTCGTGAATTTTTTACATATGCCTTTTCTGTATTGACACAAAACTCGCGTCTCAACAACTTGAGAAATGGAAAGATAAGCGTACATTTACTTGCATTAATTATTGCGTATATTGCGTGTATTGCATTGCCTAACTCGTTAATAGCACGCAAGTCTCAATACTTGAACACACAAAGTCGAGAAAGCGATGTAATTATTCTCTTAACAGCAATGCATTTATTGGGCCATGCTTCCTTGATTTAAGACTTTTACTGTTCTAGGATTAATAAGCATTCATTCTTTTTAAAAGAACGTTTATGATGGATCAATTTTTCTGGTAAAGCGACTCAATATTAAAGAAAACCTTGCTTAACAATTATTTTATTTAATTATTATTATTTTTAATTATTTTATTTATTTCACTAAACTCGGAGCTATTTTGAATAATTTTAAAAAGTCCCTAATTTATAAATTCAAAATAATTACATTCTTGCACATAATTTTATATATAACTTCATTTTACGAGTTAATTTCCCACTTTATAGAGATATATTCTTCTTAAAATTAACGATGATGATTAAATAATATATTTAAAAAATATTTCATGATGCCCATTATCTGGAGTTGATCACGAGCCTCTTCCCTCGTAAGCCCCTCGTCTCTCCCCCCGAGGGCTGCACGTCAGGCAGCCCTCGCCTCCAATCCATCATGTGAGGGCACCGCGTCCCTACCAGCGCTGCTGTGTCTGTAATACAGAGCATGTCTTACTTCTACCAGGGAATACAATAATGTAATATATGCAATAATGCAAAATACAATGATGAATTATATAAAATAATGTATAATATGATAATACAATAAATACAATAATGCAATATATAAAATATAAAGAAGTACAATAATGCAAAATCTAATATTGCAGTGAATACAATAATTTCAAACATAATAATGCATAATAGAATAATTCAATATATACAATAATGCCAAATATAGCAATGCATACTAAAATAATGAGAGAACAATAAAGCAAAATATAATAGAGCAAAAAATGAATGCAAAATACAATATTGCAGCATGCATGTGGGTTCTCATATCAGGAGGCGCAGATATTGTAAGAAATCAATCAGTTTCGTTAGACAACTGTAAAAATTTTTCGTCTCATGAGACAAAAATGTTTTTTTATCACTCCGGGCCACCTTCTGATCAAATGGTAGATTACGATGTGATTACCTACCCTGACGTTATATCTTAACAAGTTTATTCCCCAATATAATATAGGTATTATTAATAATAAAGGTATTATTTTTATTAGGGAACTTCCAAGCAAAAGCTTGGAACTTCGAATACTACTCAATAAAAATCAAAATATTTGCATTTATATACTACAAACTAGCCTTTTATAAAAAAATTACTGACCAAAGAACGTTTTAATTTGACTGCAACAATTTCAGCAATATATTCTTGCATTGACTGTAACTAAAGTATTTTCCATAAATTCCTTATACGAGCTGTATCTTTCTAAATTTGAAACGACCGGAATAGAAAACTAGATATATGATATTTATTCAAGTTACAATATAAAGTATCTTTATTAAGTTTAGGCGGTTGAATCTCACTAGCGGTTGGAATATCATGCCTGGCGTGCGTTCGGTCTGAATTTTAAAGTGATTCCATTCCTCCATCTGAGGAATTTGTTGTCGTGTTGTAGACAGCAAGTGACAGGCCGGGTCGAGCCAGAGCACCAAGAATAATACGACAGACAGATTGGTCGTCTCTCTGAATAGGCGAGTAATTCGCGTCTTCAAAGCGAGCCTTGCGACTAAAGACATGAACGGCTATGTGCTCCTAGGCATATGCAAGGAACGAGCGCTCAATGTGAAGGGTGACTATAGAATATATGGCATATAGAGGATGTATAGCAGCTCGTCATAGGCACCCAAATTGTGATGACACACACAATTTGGGTGCACTGACATGAGTATACTATTGCGTTGTGTGAGGGTACGAATTATTCCAACTAGGATGAATTTCTCAAATTAAACTTATACCACTGCATTTCAGCAACTTTGAAGCATTTAATAATAGACTTGAACCAATATTTTTCAGCTAGGCTGAATCATTTAATAATAGACTTGAACCAATATTTCTCAGCTAGGCTGGACCATTTAATAATAGACTTGAACCAATATTTCTCAGCTAGGCTGGACCATTTAATAATAGACTTGAACCAATGCGTTTCAAAAAGTGTAAATAATTCGATCATAGATAAGTCAAGAATGAATCGAAACGCAGATATCAATGAAACTAAGAGAATAATCATTACTGAATGCTTGTCGGAATACGTCAAAAGAACAATTGTAATTTAATGCGAGACAGATGAGTCTATATTAGAAGCTTACTTTATACGAAAGAAGTAACTATTTTTTAGAAAGTATTCACTGCCAGCGCACATTATAGCAGCCAAAAACTACTACATTTCCAGCAGTGTCACTGTTATTGCATTCATCCCCGCGAATTTTCTGTAAGATCACAGTCTTCTTGTTTCGAAAACGAGATTATTCATAATTAAACAAAACTGCATCAACGAGGGATTTGGATGAATTCGAAAACCAACAGCTCACATTGGATAATTTTCAGTCAGTGTTCTCACGATATAAAGCAAGGAGAGAAGGATTGCATGAAGAACTTTCATAACATTGATTTTAAACTTTCTGGGCGCCGACGCTAAGCGAGGGAACAAGTTGTGGGGAGTAAGCCTGGGAGAGTTTGACTTGAGGGTAGTCAAGGCTTAAGGAGGCTGAAGGCAGTCAAGACTGTAGGCAAGGCAGAACAAGAGCAAATCGTTAAGGCACTAAGAGGTGCAGGCTGCGGTTGCCCTGAAGGCAGTAAAGGCAGTACAAGCACGGTAGGCAAGGCAGAACAGGGGCAAATCAAGGCACTGCGAGAGGTGCAGGCTGCGGGTTGGCCTAAAGGCAGTAAAGGCTGATGGAGGACGGTAGGCAAGGCAGAACAGGGGCAAATCAAGGCACTGCGAAGTGCAGGTTACGGGTTGGCCTGAAGGCAGTATAAGCAGTAGAAGCACGGTAGGCAAGGCAGAACAGGAGCAAATCAAGGCACTAAGAGGTGCAGGCTGCGGGTTGGCCTGAAGGCAGTAAAGGCAGTAGAAGCACGGTAGGCAAGACATCACAAGGACAAATCAAGGCACTTCGATGTGAAGGCTGCGGGTTGGCCTGAAGGCAGTAAAGGCTGATGGAGGACGGTAGGCAAGGCAGAACAGGAGCAAATCAAGGCACTAAGAGGTGCAGGCTGTGGGTTGGCCTAAAGGCAGTAAAGGCTGATGGAGGATGGTAGGCAAGGCAGAACAGGGGCAAATCAAGGCACTGCGAGACGCAGGCTGCGGAAAATCGCTAGATGCTTCAAAGGCTGGAAATTTCGCTCGAGGAAATGGTAGAGATGAGGAATGGGAGGGATAGGGTTAGGAAGAGGGATGGTGAAAGGGAGGGATGATGAATATGAGGTATAAGGAGTTGGAAAATTGTGAATGGGGACTAGAGAAATTGTGGAAACTCTAAGAGCGTGGATTGAGGAGACAGGAAAAACAGCAGGGCTGAACGGAAATAAAATTGGCATAGTTGTGACAGACAATTGGCGAAGAATAGAAAAGTGAATGGCTAAGATTATGTACAAAGAAGGAAATATTAAGAGAAAGCCGACGAACGATTGCGTAAATAACAACGCGTGCTTTTCGATTAGATGCATAAATTTATTTTATTAAGTGATTGCGTTGTCTGTAAAGTATGACTGTTCATTCAATAAATTGTTTTGACTCTTCCTTCACTGAGAGAGGCCAACGATGCTCCATATCCTTGCATAGAATGTCTTCAAAACGCTTAATTTTTTTCGAATAAGGAAGGAGGTTGAGGTGCACACTGCACAGTGTACAATTATTGTACACACATTGTCCAGTGTACAATTGTACATACAGTATACATTTGTACGTGCAGTGTACAGTGATGCGAATTAGCAGAGACCTACAATTTGTAATAGGGATGCTGAAGGAGCTTAGTCGTCCCAGATAGGGATACGATATAGGGTTGCCTCGACTGATATAGGGATGCTGTAGGATGGGGTCCCTCACGCACCTATATCCGGATCCCGGTTGGACGAAGGAGAGGGAGTGGTTCCCATAAGGAATGCCGACGCTCGTAATTAGCGATTCCTGATTCCATCTTTGGGAAGCCAGAGAGCCTCTGCCGTCGTCTGGAATGACCTGAAATAGAAATGTAAGTCAAAGATTGCAGCGTACGCGGATTTTCAAGAGTTTTAAAATCAATGTGGTTATAAATTGATTAGAAGTGCTATATTGTTTAAGTTAGATCCTCTTTTTTTAATCGATACAATTCCAGATAATTTGAGAGTTTCGTAAATGCATCAAAGGTATTCGACATGAAAAATTTCGGGTTGTGCGTGAATTATTACAATAATGAATTCATTTAATGAAATTAATAAAAGGTGATGATAAGGTCTTGGAAAAAGTTAAGATCCATCAAGACTGAATGAATGGCTATAGTTTCTGGCCATTGATAGACCTATAAACGGCGAAAATCAAAAACGCGCGCCTAATAAGGGTTTAATTTTACTAGGTAATAACTTGATAGTTAATAACTTTTAATAATTAATAACTTTATTTTTTTGAGTAGGCCGCGTTAAACTCGAAAACGAGGAAGCCTTTTCTTGCATATCGGTCTCTACACTGGAAATTAGGTGCAGGAGCTGTTAACTTGTATAACCTGCCGTATAACCTGTGCTATAACCTATACGTGGATTTTAATTTCTTTACGGAAATAAGTTAACATAATAACACCCGCCGCATAAAAGAACTTCGGCTAAGTTAGGCTAATTTTCATGCATAATTTATAGCCTTGGCATATATTTGCCCGGCCTTTTATGTACTGATCATAAGCTGCATACCATTTATACGAGAGCAAACGCATGGCAAGGCAAAGGCCGAGTGTAGATTGGACTGAAGGAGGCAAGGAAGGAGCCGACATCTTATTGATCGCGACCAGCCTAGGGAGACTGCTTACGGGGAGACAAGTCCTGTAGCTCCTACTTCACACGCAGCCCCAGACGAGGGGAGTTGAGGGAACAATGTGGACATATGAGGGAGACAAGTCCTGTAGCTCCTACTTCACACGCTGCCCCAGACGAGGGGAATTGAGGGAACAATGGGGACATATGAGGGAGACAAGTCCTGTAGCTCCTACTTCACATGCCGCCCCAGACGAGGGGAGTTGAGGGGAACAATGTAGACATATGAGATGCATGAGGGCAGGATGGCAGGATATGGAAGATCTTAGGAGGGAAGGGAGCGAGAACTTAGAGGGAGAACTTAGGACCAGATGAGAGATGGATGATCTTAGAAGTACATAAAGATAGATGCGATATGGATATATCGTCTATCATATATAGTTAGATGCGATATGGATAGATCTTATATCATATAAAGTTAGATGCGGATAGATCGTATTTCAAATATGGTAGAAACACGATAGGAAATGTTGCTACCAAACGATAGAAACACGTTTGGCAGCAACACGTCCTTGCAGCAACACTCTTGGCAGAAACACCTCCTGGCAGCAATACTTTTTTGCAAAATAACTCATGGCAGCAATACCTCTAGCAGAAACACCCCTGGCAGCAATACCCCTGTCAGCAATACTCCTGGTAGCAATACCCCTGTCAGCAATACCTCCTGGCAGCAATACTCCTGGTAGCAATACCCCTGTCAGCAATACCTCCTGGCAGCAATACTCCTGGCAGCAATACTCCTAGCAGCAATACCTCCTGGCAGCAATACTCCTGGCAGCAATACCCCTGGCAGCAATTTCTTGCAGTGACAAGTCAGGCAGCAGAATGTTCTCGAGGACAAGTTCTGTCTCGTACGTAGCAGCCATAACGACTGTGACAGGAACAGAGAGGCAGAATTAGAGACAGCACTGCGATGCTGCAGAGCTATTTACAGCTGCCGTCAACAGCGATATTGCTGTAACAGCCGAACCATTTAGAGCTGCCGTGCGTACAACGACTCCCGTCCATATGCGCCTATATATCGGCCACTCCTGACCAATTATAGATTATGGTATCATGCAAGTAGTTAGCATTCCAAAAGTCCAACCATACAATATATTATATGTACTAAAAAGTTTTTTTTTAATTTCTTTCTTATTAAAGCTTTAATGCGGCTTTTATCAAAGCTCTCGTTGAATATTATCATATTTTAAAATAATGAGTATATATTCAAAAACTTATCATATAATAGCGATTAATCCAAACACTCTAAGTAAATATTTCGAAGAATTTTCGTTTATATTTTATTTAAATAATCCTATACTTCCGACCAAAACAAAAGTTATTGTGCATTAATTCAAACATTAGTAAAACAATATATACACGACATTGTACATCATTGCACATCTCAATTTTCATAAATATTTCAAGCAACAAATAATAATTTGGAATTACATAATTATTAGAGAGTGATTGATATTGCTCGCAATTGATTTTTGGACTGTGGTTTCGTTCGCCATGAATTTTTTTAAACAAACTTGCATATTTTTCCTAAATTCGAAACAAAAAATAAGTTTTGCTTTCCACACACGGGAAAAGCAAGCGAAGAAATTTTGCAACGATTCATTCTAAATTTTATTCCGATTTGATTTTTGATTACAAACTAATTCCAAACGTAAAAAAATGGCGTCAATATGTAAGAAATTAGAAATAAATTTGCAATAAATGATCATACCTAAAACCCGTTATTGTCAACATCAATTCAAGACTGAATACAATAATATTCAGTCCAAAATATCAATAATTGCTTAATATATTTTTTTCGAACTATCCTGTCTCTTTCTCGTCATTCGAACACAGGCTTTACCTAACCCGAGCCCTGTGAGTTCGCATGAAACTCTACGGCGCGAGTGCGCCAAAGTTCATATTCAGTAGAGGCTGGCAAGCAATTAGACGAGACTTTTGGTAGGAAGAGCTGTCGTTAGAAAGCGGCCATCTTGTCTTCATTGCCATGATATTGCTCTAATTTGGAGCAATAACTTGGCCCGCTTGATTTATTGAATTGCCTCTCCGAGGATATTGCGTCTCTTTGAAAACTGCGACTCTGCCTGAACTTTTGTGAGCTCTGGACGTGGCTTCTTATTGGAGAGCTCCTTTCAAACCCTTTTTAGTGGCAGAAATTATTATTATTATCAGTGAATTATTAAAAATTTCATGCACCTATTCAAAGGAATTTTATTTATATTGTAAATTAGATCAGCTTTCAAAACCATAAGCAACGATTTAATATCCTTTTAGCGAAGTAATTTTTATTTGAAGTACAAGTCTTGGTTTTAGGATTTTACGTAAAATTTTTTCCTACGCGAATGTTTACACGATCTTGAGTTGAACTTCAATTACAAATTTTTAATAATCTATAAATACTTGGTACGCAATAAATGCATACAATACTAGATCAGGTGAATAACGTCAAACATACAATATGCATTTATAAATAACCAAAGAGAAATCGCAGAGATATTTCAATTTTCGTTTTAGCTTAATTTTTAATTTTCGGCAAACTTTGAACTAAAGTCACGTAAACCATAGAATTAAAAAATTGAAATCTTTTCCTGTAACATCTAATGATATATTCTTCTCTGGTTCCATCTAATTCATCCTAAAACGTGCGCATTTTCACAGAAATTCAGTGCGAGTGTTTCATAACAAGTTACAATTTAATACAATTAACCGAAAATGGCATCTTGACCTAAAAAACATATAATTGCACGTTCTCCTACATAATATATAACCGCACATAATACTCCATAAAATATGATTGCATTTTCAAATCTATCAATCAGCGAATCCAAAGCTATACCTGATTGTTTTTGTTGAAGGTGGTGTGACGTTTTCACTTATTCCTCGTATTAAAATTTCTAAATTGATACAATAAATAAATTACAATAAATAAATTTCTTTTCCTGATTCTAACGTTTAAAGATTATGCGAAAAATCCGCTCGCTTCATATAAGCGCCCTACCGAATAATGATATTATTCTCGAGGCGCGAACAAAGCGAAATAAAACTGAAGTTTAGCGCACGTCTCTGGCGCCTGCAAGACGTGGTGTCGTCATGTCGCACTGTCATGCATGTTCTCTGGCGGCCATATTTATCGTCATTTCTCTGTTTATTTCCATTTATATTCCATTCTCTGACCTTGTTTGCTCGGTTTCTTCCTTTCACTTCAAGCGCCCAGATCAATCTTAGTTTCACCTTAGTTTTCTCTTGGCTATTTCGACGTTTTGTACCTACTTATACTGATTAGACGTTATTTTGTTTTTCCTTTCCCCGTTTTTTTAATGTATTTGCATTTCTTACATCCTGTCACTACATAACTTCCTAATTAATTTAATTGTTTACACATTCCATCAAATATTATCTCTCACTCATAACGCTTACTTATTTCATTTATCTTTCCTTCCGTCTTGCGCATCCCCCAAGCTTGCCCTCATTTTTCTATCCTTGCCCTCAATTTATCAGTGTCGCCTCAGTCCCCTTTTCTTGCCCCCCTTCTAATCTTGGCTGCCATTTCTCCTTCACTTTAGACCTTTCTTCAGAATTAAAATCACTTGTTTGCTTGAATCGCAGATTTTTTATCTGCGATTCCCCTTGTGTTTTAGTACACAAGGGGATTTTTCTTCTGATTTTTAATTACCTTTCTTCCTCCTGCTCCTTGTCTCATTTTTTGTACTCCTTTCATTTTTAGCTTTCGTTCAGTCAATTTCTTATCCTCCATATCTTTTTTATGTTAACCATTTATTTTTTATCGAAATTATCATCAAATCTTTATATAAATGGCTTTCACCTATAGCTCCATTACTCCTATTAACAAATTTCTGAAATTTCTAATAGCTAATCAAAGTTTGTTTTAAACTTTCATACCCAACATTATGTCTACAAAGGATATTTCTAAATAGTTGAGTATCCCTAAAACATTTTATGTACACACATATAACTTATTTCGGAAGAGTAAAGCTCGTACCTCATTTAATTTCGAACACATTTCCCTGAACCAAATAAACAATATATAAATAAAGTTTAGCTCTTCGCTTAGGCTGAATATGTTGATCAGATTGTTCCGTAGTTGTTTTGTGATTTTTTATTCCAGAGACAACGCACATGTGATAGTTTCGGATAACAGCTTATTGTTAAAATTTATATCTAAATATTACTTCCAGACCTAAAAATTTTACTTCGAAATATAATTTACTTTAGGGGTAATTGCGGATATTTACTAATAATTAAACACGTTTGTCTCAGAATATTTATTATTCACACGTGCCAATAATAAATACCGGCATTACCAAGTCTCTTTTCTTGCTGCTTTTTTTTCCATCATGTCTCAAACTCCCTCACTCCCCAATCCCTCACTCCCACTCCCCACTTCCAACTCCCCACCCCCCACTTCCCTCTCGCCATACCCCCTATTCTCTCCCTCCCAAAGCGCCTCCTGCAACAACCATCTCTCTTGCTACCAATTTGGTCTGAGACCCCATCACTCCCTCTTCTTCCCCTCTCCCCTCCCTACTTCCCCTCTTTCTCCCATCTACCCCACCCCTCCCTTCTCTCCCTTTCTCCCTATTCCCAAACTCCCGTCTTAAATTAGCCAGGCCCTTTCACTCCTTCTGACGCTCCCTCGACCCCCCGCTCCCCTCTTTCCTGTCTCCTCTCTTCCATCCGGAAATCAATTTTCACTAAAATAAAAATGATAAGTTAAACATAAGTAACTTCCATTTTCAAATCAGGAAACTATCTACTTTTATGCAATAAAATGAAATTTAAAAAATGTATCTGTACATATCAAAAGAGAAATTTAACCATTTGTGGGATAAACGATTAAAGACATCAAGCTTATCAGCAAATTTAAGTTAAATAAATATCAACACGCGTAATCTGTATTTCTGTAGGCTTCCTTGGCCTGCATCAATCACTTTCATTTTTTCTTCATCTTCACCCGTATGCCTCCATCGCTATTTTATTCACCTTAGCATCTTCCTATTTATTTCCTGTTTGCCTTATTCATTTCATCCAAATCTCTGTGACTCCTTTCCTTTTTTATCAGCATTTTCTTTATCCCTGTGCACACCTCCCTGTCTTGCCCCCTCAACTTCATCCCTGTGCATACCTCCCTGTCTTGCTCCCCTCACCTTCATCCCTGTACACACCTCACTGTCTTGTCCCTCACCTTCATCCCTGTGCATACCTCCCTGTCTTGCCCCCTCACCTTCATCCCTGTGCACACCTCCCTGTCATGCCCTCCCTCACCTTCATCCCTGTGCATACCTCCCTGTCTTGCTCCCCTCACCTTCATCCCTGTGCATACCTCCCTGTCTTGCCCCCTCACCTTCATCCCTGTCTCTTATACACATCTAGATGTGTATAAGAGACAGGTACTGATGTTACTGACGTGCCTGTACTGATGTTACTGACGTGCCTGTACTGATGTTACTGACGTGCCTGTAAGTATTTAGGGGAAAAGATTTCATCAGTCCAGACTGCACAATTTACACTGTGATGTATTGTGTCTTGTTATTCAAAAGAATGATGCTCTTTTACTATTTTTATTAATGTTACGACACCTCCTTTTATCATTATAATTTATTAAAATTACTTTGCTCATTTGAATGCGTGAATGAGTCTGGTTGTATGAGTGACCGCTATTAGAAGTTGACCTCACATAAGACGCATTACTCACATGAGTGACCTGGGGAATGTAACCGCGACTGCATAACTGCAATGCATGTAAGGGTCCAACAAAAAAAAAACATGTATGCGCCGATGAAGAACATTTCAATGGTAAAATATTCATGTTATTTCTGTTACATGTGATGAAAGCTGGGATAGCAAATATTTATTTGAATATTTTCATCTTGAAGTTAAGCATCGCCAAACGGCGGACGAATAAAATATTTGCTGTGCACTAAAATGAACACACATTAACATATTTTACCAGTGGAAAACGTCATTCATTAATTGCACAGAATGAATCTTACTTACTTTACTATTCCAAAGTCGCAAATTTATTAATCCCAATTTTAATTCCTTCATTTATTGATTTGCACTGCAACTTAATAATTTGACGTCACCTGGGCAATAAACGAGGCCAGAGTGATCTAAAACGCAATAAATAAATGAGTTTACGAGGTATTTCACTCGCCTAATCGACCACAAACTAATTAAAGGTAAACTGCTTAGCAAGCCTCGACCTCAGCGGCGGCGACCAGCGGCAAGACGAGCCGGCGAGTACGTAGCAGCGGCTGCGGCCAAATCAGCTGCGGCAGCGACGGAGTCCGAGGGCAAAAAAAAATCCCTCGGAAAAAGAATCTGGAAGAGGATGACAGGAAGAGAGGGTAAATTTTACGCGCTGAGAGTCGAAGGCCACGAGGTGTAGTAGCGTAAGTCTTAGGAGAGTCGTAGTGCATTTAAAGAATACGGCGCGGTGTGAGTTGGGAAGTTCGATCGTTGGAAACATGAATGAACTGACGATGTTGTTTGTACTGCGCGGGGCAATGTTCTTGATTGGAGTTAGTTTTCGGAACATTTTTATTTTAGATTATGCGGGCGTTGGCGATGGAAAGTTTGCATTATGTTTTGATGCTTATAGTTTGTAAGAGGGTGTACACCATGCATGAAATAGGTAGCTATTCATCCAAAACATTCTGTATAATTGAGCAGTGTGATCAGTATATGTATAGTATAAGTAGCATATATCAGTATAATTGAGCAGTGCGATGTGCCTTTGCTCTATATGCATACGAGCATCCTCAAGGAACATGCCACATTATACAAAGATTTATCTCCGTGATCCTAATATTCGCCTGAAATCTACGATATTTTTATTCACTCGTATGAGATAATTTTTCTCTATGACACCAAGACTCATCCTGTATACGAGATACAGAGATGATATTCTGATCGTGAGTGAAAAAAGAAAACTCGAATTTTCCTCATTCCTCGAGGCCATGAATTCAAACCTTAGGTCAATCGAATTTAGAAAAATGGAGTTGAAATTTTATCGGGCCTCCAATTATATGGAAGGCAAGAATCCCCGGAAAAAGAGGCGTGATTTATACGTTAATTTGGTAGGTAAATAAGTTTGAAGTTATATTTTTAATTAGGTTAAAAATATGTATATTCAACACACTAATTTGATGGAAAGGTAAGCGTGAGAAACAATGATGGGTTTATGACATTGGGGGCTTATATAGATAATTGTAGCTTGTAAATGTTTCCGGTATAAATATATTAGAATAAATTTTGAATTTAATAGGCGAGAGAAAATTCGAAAAATTCTGACGAAATCATAATAGAAAGAGACTTATAATAATATTATTGCTCATGGAACTAGACCATTTAAAACTTATGATATTAATAATAATGATGAATGTAAATTCATTGAAATCCTGAGCTTTACCTTCCAAGCTTTAATAATTGACAAAAATTGGTGTCATAAATACCACATTTAATGTAATATTTAGAAAATATGTAATTTCAATCGGTTTCTAAAATATCTAAAATTACGTGCATTTTTAAAATCCCCATCCAATATCTTGAAAATACTATTACAATGAACAATAATGTGGTCTGAATTCACATTTTTCATGAGGAACTTGTTATCCATATAAGAGTTCGATAATTAAACTTGGAGGTGGACTTCCGTAGACGAATAGTCAGTGTCTTGCGAAATGTTTAACAGGGCAATGATCTTTATTGGAGAAATTCTGTTTTATTTATTCAACAGATAAGCAAATAATGAATTTCAATCTTCTTGTTGTATTCTATGGACAAATCACTCCGTTTTCAAATTCCGAATGTACCAACCAAATCATCAGTCAAATTTAAAAATGTCGAATTTTTGTACGAAAAGTTTGTGCATGACAGACTCCCAGCAAGGCATTTTATGCCAGGAAAAAAATAATGCTGTGTTTTAATTTGTGATCTTCATCACTTAATCGTTAACATAGCTTTTATTTGTCTTGCAAATAGCGACTCCGAGCGCGATTAAAAAAAATTAAACGAACCTGAAAAGTGTGAACGATATTAAAGTGAAGTGAACTGTAGTAAACCAAAAAAAAATGGAGTAAACTGGGTGCACTTGTATTTAATTTAATTAAATTCAAATAGAGTAAGTAATCGCACTGTGGCGTGATAGTTATCAATATTTTACTGTATGGTTCGCATAGCTGGCCTGGAAGCCATAGCTCGCCGGCGCATAGCCGATGCACGAGCGCCATGTAGGCCTGGGTAACGTGAGACCAGGCCTAAGGGAAGGGGAGTGAGAGAAGTGAGTGGAGTGAGGGGAGCAAGGGCAGTGAAGGGAGTGAGGGGGAGTGAGATGAGTGAGCGGAGTGCGGGGAGTGAGAGGAGTGAGGAGTGAAGGGGAGTGAGGGAAGTGAAGGGAGTGAAGGGAGTGAGGGAGTGAGAAAAGTGAGGGGAGCAAGGGGAGTGAAGGGAGTGAGGGGAGTGCAGGGAGTGAGGGGAGCGAGGGAGAGTGCATGGAGTGAGGAGACTGAGGGAGTGAAGGGGTGAAGACTAAGGGGAGTGAGAGAAGTGAGAAAAGTGAAAAGAGTGAGGGAAGTGAGGGGAGTGCAGAGAGTGAGGTGTATGGGGAGTGAGAGGAGTGAGCGGAGAAAGGAGAGTGAGGGCAGTTAGGAGAGTGAGAGCGTGAGGGATGTGAGAAGTGTGAGGGGAGTGAATGAAGTGAAGAGAATTAGGGGAGAGCGGAGAGTGAGGAGAGTGAGGGGAGTTATGAAGAAGAGGGATAAATCTGAAACCAGCGATAGAGACGAGGGCTGTCGGAGCTCAGAGGCCGAGCGACTTATCGCTCGAGGATTCCTCTTGCCAACCTCACATAGGATCTACACATTCCCCTCTAATTCTGACGGGAAATCTTTAAGATTTATCTGAACATTAAAATAATTGATAATGTTCAGTTCAACGACTTGATCACACTCTTAACTGAAATCAAGGAGCGAATTTAATTTTTTTAGTCGACAAAATTAGAGAAAAATGTAGGCCCTCGTAACAATATTTGTTCTACTGCAATCTTTACTGTGAACAGAATTGTACTATGTTACTAATTAAATGCCAGAATTGTTCAATGCATAAAAATAATTCATGTTATACAAAGTATTATGATAGCCTTCGACAGTTTGATTAGTTTACAAATACCGGAATATTTATGTAAATTGCTTGAAATTTTTCAAAATTATGAGGAATTATTGCCCATAATTGATATTAAGTATGATTTATATATTCACCGCTGCAAATATTAACCTAGCAATTATTGACGTGTCATATATTCATAGTAATAAATTCATCCAAACCATTATTCAGCATTGGTCTTCCCTCAAGCAGACATAGACATAAGCCACGTTTCCCAGGTCCGTCGTTTGCTCCTTGCGCCTCTCTCTGTCTTCTGAGACTTTCTTTTTTGCGCCTCGGAATATATTTCGCTGCCTGTATAATTGTCGCTCCAATGTCTCAATTCGTGAGGCTCAATTTTGGCAAAGTCCCACTTTCTCATTGGCACAGGACTTGCCAAGATTTAACAAGACAACGTTGCCCATTGGCCCGAAAGCAAGGTTTTGAACTTTCATCATCTCTCATTGGTGCAAAGCCTAGGAATCCAAGCAACAAGCTTCGCCATTGGACGAGATTCCAAGATTCCAGCGACGCAGAACTCGCATTGGATGAAACTCGAAGAAGATCGATCTAGGCCTCCTATTGGAGCAAGTCCGGACCACTGAGCGAATGTCTTACACTCAAAATAGGATCAATTATTCGCTATAGAATTTCCTTTCCATTGTTGACGTCGAAATGTTATTCCTACGAGATATGGTGAAGTTGCAATGCATTTCGCCACGTCCAAGCGAGCTCGATTCACAAGAGACTGAGGTGATTTAACAGGTCGTGTCCAACTCAGCATAGCTGCAATAAGGGAGGCTATTACTCATTTTGCAAACAACTCGGTCTTCTGCAGTAAACTATGCATGTGTGCACCCACATGCCTACGAATACATAGAAATGCTGTCGTGTCGAGCCAGGCGACCGTTCTTCAAAGATATTTACGCGTATCTTGGAAGATAATACGACGCTGCGATATCATGCAGCTACACTGCCCAATCCTTTAGCGAATTTTACAGACCACGGGACATAATTTCAGAGCGCGTAAGCTCTCTTACATTTAAGAGTTCTTAAAGCTAACGTTTATTCATGATTTAATGAGTATCTGTGATACGTCATGTTCCGAAAACAACGTTCCTGAAGAAACGAACGTTTTTTTTTATTTTGACGTGAACATGGCAGGGTGGCGGAGAAGCAAACGTTTTTGGAGAGGTTTTAAAAAATTCGAAGCGTTTGAAAAAAAGAGTAAAAATACGTTTGAATAGTTTTTTTTTGCGGGAAATCGAGTTTCTTAATATCGAAGATTTCGTGAAGGAGAGTATAGAGGGGGATTATCATGGGACTGGGAGTTGGGGAAATACAAGGACTTCATTATGAAAGGAATAAGTCGTCGCAGGATTGGGGATTTTGCGACCATGAAATCAAGATTGCGAATTTAAATATTTTTCTCATGCAAATTTTAAATTGATCGACACCGCACCAGACATTGAAAAGTAGAGCAAAGCCAAAAAATTCAAGCATAATGTAAGTTCTGTAAGAATATAAAATAACACAGTTAATTTCCTGGTCAACATTATTGACATTTTATTTCTTAGGGAACAAGGCTTATTTATTTCTTAGGGAACAAGGCTAAAAGAATCGATGGTTGAAAGGGAAAAGGTATAAAATTGAATGAAATTATTATTTTCACCATTTGGTTTTGTCTATTCTCATTAAAAATTGTCTGAAACGAAGCACTGCAGTGAAATTAAATTAATTGAGAACCCACGAACAAATATAATCGATACGGCATAGTCTTAGAACGAATCATCCTTATTTCATCAAATCTTTGAAGAAAATTGATCAAATTTCCTTCAACTTGGCCCATAACACACTGATAATTATAGTTTCATAATTTTTTCACCCGTAACATTCTCATGACTAATTTTTCTAAATTTGTAATCACATTAATTGTGTGGTTTATATACCAAAAAACGCTACTGAAAAAATGAATGAATTCCCACGATAAGTTTTTTTTACCATATTTTTCATGGATTTTATTACCTTGAATTTATTGGAAATTGTACAGATTTTTCTAAATTTCCAAAAATCCAAAAAAAAATCCTGGATCCTCGAAATGATTCTATTAAATAAATTCGAACCACGTTTGTTTTAAAAATCTAACGAAATCATGACTAAAATTATCTAAAATTTATTACTCATTGTACAATCTTATGAATAAATATTCACTTCATGAACATTTAAAAAAAGTAATTTATTCGTAAAAATTCATAGTGTACCAAAATATAATTGTATCGTGCTTGAAGTATTTACACTATATTCATTTACTATTCATTTCCTATACTATATTATAAGTATTCATTTACTTATAATATGGAACGTATACTCTCATTCTTATTTTGGAATTGACATTTTAGTATAAATTCTTCACGATAACACATGTCACGATAACACATTATTTTGTTACAATTACCATTACATTATGGGCATTTTTATTACAAATTTCTTATCGTAATGAAGAAAATATCTTAAACATATTAAGATTTCCACTACGTATATTTTCAACGCCAGTATGTTTGGCAGTGTTAAAAAAATTTAGCTCTGTCCAAAGAAACTCTGTACGAGATAAAAATATTATTTTAATTTTTAATTTGTTTTTTATTTGTCTCTTCATGTGTTAAAACCTTAACATTTTTTTGCCTCAGGATCTAATTTGGAACTTGAAAACTGCTTAGAACGTTCGATATGATGGCTAAGTTTTAACATTCTAAAATATAATCTTCTATTCTATAATATTATAGATAATTTATATATAATTCTATAATATAATAATATAATAAATAAATAGAATAGAATTATAAATAATATAATTCTATTATAATTATAGAATGCAATTATATTCTCCTACTGGGAAAAACTTAAGAAGAAAATCGAGTTAAACTTTAAACTGTTTCCGTTATAATTACATGATTATAATAATTAATCAGGTGATTTGTGTTCATATGAAATTTCACTTATACCTGTTTTCTTACTGAAGCTACAACTTTCTAATAAAAGCTACAACTATCTAATAGAAGCTACAACTTTCCAATAGAAGCTACTACTTTCTAATAAAAGCTACAACTTTCTAATAAAAGCTACAACTTTCCAATAAAAGCTACAACTTTCCAATAAAAGTTACAACTGTCTAATAAAAGCTACAACTTTCTAATATAAGCTGCAATTTTCCAATAGAAGCTACAACTTTCTAATAAAAGCTGCCACTTGCTAATAAAAACTTCAAATTTCTACTGAAAGCTAAAACTTTAAAATAAAAACTACAACTTTCTAAAAAAAGCTACAACTTTTTAATATTTTCTACTTACTTCTACTGCTTACTAATACTTGTTAATTTTTGCATATAGTTGCCAAAACAAATAATATCTCTTCTAGAGTTATTTTATTATGTCCCATAAACATATTATTCAACTCGCTGGCGCAAATTCGATTCCTCATACGTATAATAAAAAATTCATGATATATTAAAAATTCTCCTTCTTAAGAGAGCATATAATAAGTAACTTATCGGTATATGACTCAAATATTCATTTGTTCTCTGTACAACTTCATTTGAGATTGTATAGGGAATATTTTAAATTAAAATATTTAAATGTTCAGAGCTCAGTTGCTGGCGGGGTTATTAAATTTGAATGAATTTTATCTGATATTGTCAAAACAAAAAAAAAATATTATGCATTTCTCTCTTACCAAATAATAATTCATTCGGAAGCGAATTCATCCTAATTATGCATACCTGAATGTAACTGAGATCTGAATTCACATCCCATCACATACCTGCATGACTAACTCATCTAGTATTCAAATTTATGTCATTTTCATATGAATATCACACAACCTCCTGATCGAGTTGAACACAAAAAAGCAGCGCTAACTAAAATTCCAGAAGTTTTCTCACGGTTGTTTTGAAAATAATAAAAAAAAACTTTCCGTGCATAATTTTATTCTTTGTGCCTTCAAATTCCAACAAGAATATGCGTATCAAAGATGAGCCTCAGCAATGTTGCGCATCTTGCAAAAATTTGATCCTATTTGAATTGCAAAGTCGAGCGAATTCCTGCATTTTAAATTGCAAAAATTATGTAGCGAACTTTATGGGGTTGATAATTTTGTACTTTTTATGGAAGTAGAAGTGGTATACATGCAATAATTATACATATGAAATAAGTTTTATCTTGAAATTGACCAGTTCATCCCGTAAGATGTAAGGATATTATTCAAAATGATCATGAACACTCAATACAAAATTTTCGTTTGAATGTAAAAAGTTTAATTATTTTTATCGAGAAATTTAATCAGAATACAGTTCATATTCTTTATTTTAAGTCATGTTTTCATTATTCAGACTCTGTTTTATTTAGATTTTTTATTAGAAATTTTATTTTTTATTAAAAAATTAGAATATTTTATAACAAGTTTTCAACTATTAAGCGTACCAGTAACAACAAAGTTTTCAAACGTAGAACTCACATATTAGCAGTATAAATATTTGAAGCAGTTTATATTTGATCATCATAAGTCATCAACATCATTATTCAGTCTAAATGTGTTCATCATAATTATTCGAGATTTATTATTTCAATTTTTAAATTTGTTAATCATAACGAAGAAGTTTTTTTTTTTTTATCAGTCAAAGTTGGCTTTTATAGTAACTCTGCATGTTTCTTTTTTTTCATTAGTTCAAATTTGTTTGTCAAAATTCAACAAGTTTCACCATTTTCATCAGTCTAAACTTCTTCATCATTATTGCATAAGTTTCATGATTTTCAGAAAAAGTAATTTGTTCGTCAACGGTAAATATGTTTATTGGTTATTTGTTATAATTCTTCTCATCCTTTTGCTTCCAAAAAAATAGTATGAAAGTAAATTATTTTTCTTCTAGTTATCATCTTCTCTAATTTTTCTTCATCGTAATTCTACAAGTTTCATAATTTTTTCTATTCGTCTAAATTTGATTTATATTCATGAAATACACACTAAGCGAATATTTCGTTTATAAGTCCCAATCTGTTCAACATTTTTCTTAAAGTTTTATTATTCTAATCAGTAACTATTTTATAATCAGTCTGCAAATTTTATTTTGTTAATGAGGCTACATTTGTTCATCCTGGGAGATTTACGCGGCCCGAAGTCAAGAGCCATATGCTGGCAACAAAGCTGGAAAAAATTTAAAAATACTCATCAAAACTTTAAAATATATCCTGCTTCAGTTAAGCATTTATATGATTAATATCCATTCCCATTAACTTAATGGATAAGTATTGATTATGAGTTGGAATTTTTGGTCACTCCATGAGATAGTATCTTAAAAATTATTTCAAATATCTTACTGTTCAGCGGAGTTAATGTACGAGCTGTTTGCCGTTTGTTTCAATACGTTTTAATTGGCATATCCCATTTTCCATTTGCATATCACTTCCAGTAAATGTAACTGTAACAGTTATGATCAACTGCAAGTAATTTGCAACCGTTACTGCGAGTGGTATGAAATTTCAATTATGTCACTTTCACGAAATACAAGCGGCTGTTATTATCAGCAACACTTATTATCTATAACAGTTATAAATAACTGCCGATACCAAATGCAGCAGTTTAAAGAAATTTAAACTATATTTCAGATTCGCGAATTACCTGATGCATAAAAAATCATCGGCGGTTATTGTCAGCTGCAGTTGCTGTGAGCTGTAGTTACTGCTATCTGCAGTTACTGTGAGCTGCAGTTACTGCTAGCTACATTTAATTACTATGAGCTGCAGTTACTGTCAGCTGCAGTTACTGCTAGCTGCATTTACTGCTATCTGCAGTTACTGTGAGTTGCAGTTACTGTGATCTGCAGTTACTGTCAGCTGTAGTTACTGTGAGCTGCAGTGCATGAGGCATCAGGAGGCAGGTTGGCAGTTTGCCGTTATCGGCTGCCGCGCCAAGATGGAGGCCCAGCGCCCGTGGGATTTGGTAGTCGGGGACGAGGGGAAAGGGACGAGGGGAAAAAAGGGAGAGGGAGAAGAGAAGGAGGGAGAAGATGGAAGAAAATAAGGCTCAAAGAGAGGGGAGTAGAGAATGAGAAGAACGTGGGGTGAACAGAAGGATGAGAAAAGAAGGAAGGTGAAATCGATGACTAAGAGAAAAGGGAATGAGGAAAGACGAAATCGAATGCGCAGATAAAAAGGATGAAGGGAAACCGGGTAGGAGAGTTTAGAAATGAAAGTTAAGAAATGAGATGTAGAGAAAAAACGGAGAGTTGACAGGACGATGAAAAGGCTGGTAGAAGAATATAAGTAAAGAAAGCAGGGAGGATGTACGAAGGGACGGCTGTTAAAAAAGAGGGAAAAAGTCCCCGAGAATAGTAAAGAAAAAATGCATAAAGAAGGAAACAAGTGAAGCATAGTATGCGAGTGGACAAAAATTTATACAAGTTCAGTAAGTTTTCTCACCAGTCTTTATCGCTAAATGGAAGAAATAATCTATAAAATTATTAAAACTGACGTAATATGATAGGGTGTTGAGAAATGCATGATATGAAAGGTGACGGAGTGAGCGACGTTGCATGGAGAGAAATTTTTGAGGAAAGAATTGGTATGATTGGTGGGAGTAATGTGAAGGGAGTGAGCGGTGTGAAGGGAGTGAGGGGAGTAAAGGGAATGAGTGGTGTGAAGGGTATGTGGGGTGTGAAGAGAGTGAGGGGTGTGAAAGGAGTCAGGGGTGTGAAGGGAATGTGGGGTGTGAAAGGAGTGAGGGGTGTGAAGGGAATGTGGGGTGTGAAGAAAGTGAGGGGTATGAAGGGAGTGAGAAGTGTGAAGGGCGTGAGGAGTGTGAAGGGAATGTGGGGTGTGAAGGGTGTAAGAGGTGTGAAGGGAATGAGGGGTGTGAAGGGAGTGAGGGGTGTGAAGGGTGTGACGGGAGGCTGTCTGGAGGGAGGCCTTGAGAAATGGGAGCCTAGGTTCTCGCAGACGCCTGTAGGGAGCAGCATGCCAGGGTCGATATTGTGCCGCGGGGGGGGGGGGGGAAGTTGGGAGCATGGGGGAGTTGGAGCAAGAGGGGTGGAATGGGAGGTATGAAGGATGGGAATAGAAGCATAAGGAGGAAAGGAGCTGCTAGAGTGGGAAGAGAGGGATGAGAAAAGGAATGAGAGGTATGGGGAAGAAGTGAATGAGGAGTGGGCTGGGTGAAGCAAGAAATGAGGAAAATTGGTGAAGGCTACAAGAAATAATATTGTCGGAATGTTGATATTCTTGGTAGTGGGAAGGATGTGCAAGGAAACTGAAGGAGTTTAAACGACAACCGGGCATTACGCATAATAGATACCATAATAAAAACATGAAAATCAAATCAGTGCTCGTAAAGTAGAAAAATTCAGGAAGAAGTGCATGAACAGCAAAACAACAGCAGTTAAGCTACTCAAACACAGCTCAACAGCAGTTATACAATTCAAGAGCAGTTGAACAACTGAAAGACAGCTCAACTGTAGCCCAAAAGTTAAAAACAGCTAAAATGCAGTTCAAAGTTCAGCTGCAGTTCAACAGTTAAACAGCTCAAAACGGCATTCAAGCGTAGTTCAACAGATCAACTGCAGTTCAACAGTTCGGAAACAGCTAAACTGCAGTTCAACAGCGCAATTATGAAGTTTTGCCGAAGTTCAACAATTCAGTATCAGTTAAACAGTTTACCAGCTGAACCACAGTCGAACAGTTCATCAACAGTTCAGCAGCTCACCAGCAATTCAACAACAGTTGAACAGTTTAAGAGCGGTTCAACAATTCAATAACAGCACAACTGTTCAAGAGTGGGTCAACAATTCAACAGCAGTTCAGAAAATTAACAGCAGATGTTCAACTGTTTACCTGCATTTACACACTCCAACCGCCGTTCAACAGCTTAACAGTTCAGCAAGAGTTCAACAGTTCAACAACACTATTGTGTTGTCATTCAAAAACGCACCAAGAGTTCAACAGTTCAACAAGAGTTCAACAGTTCAACAGGAGTTCAACAGTTCCACAACAGCTCAACAGTTCAACAGCAGTTCAACAGTTCAACAGTTGGTTAACAGTTCAAAAACATTTCAGCAAAGTAACAGCAATTGTTCAACCGTTCAACTGCAGTTACACACTTCAACCTCAGTTCAACAGCTCAACAGTAGTGCAACAGTTCAACAAGAGTTCAAAAGTTCATCAAGAGTTCAACAGTTCAACAAGAGTTCAACAGTTCAACAAGAGTTCAACAGTTCAACAAGAGTTCAACAGTTCAACAAGAGTTCAACAGTTTAACAAGAGTTCAACAGTCGAACAAGAGTTTAACAGTTCAACAAGAATTCAACAGTTCAACAAGAGTTCAACAGTTCAACAAGAGTTCAACAGTTCAACAAGAGTTCAACAATTCAACAAGAGTTCAACTTGAGCTCACCAGCTCAACAACAGTGGAACAATAGTTCAACAGTTCAAGAACACCATTGCCTTATCATTCAAAAAAGCACCAAAACTGATTCTCAGGCTCGCGCCGCGCAAAAATGCGACGCTTGCGAGCGCCAAAAGATCGCGCGCCAAATCGAGCTTTGGCTGAAAAAAGTCGAACTGAGAAACGCTTGCGAAGACGGCGAGGGAGAAGTGATAAAAGAGGGTAAGAGGGAGATTTCAGGGAGCAGTTTGGTATCCTAGACAGAGAAATACTATCAACAAATTATTGAACTGGAATATTTTCAAGAAAAACAGACTTAGTGTCTTGATGCATATTGTAAAAAAAAACTTTACAGGAGAAAAAATTAATAAATTTTCACCATGTGAATAAGAATAAATGAATGAGAAGTGCGCCCAGTGAACGAGGCTAAATGAATGAGAACTGCACCCACTGAATGAGATCAAACTAATGAGACGTACATACTTTCACATACATGCTGAAGGTCAATTTATAAATAATGATTTACAAAACAATAAAAAAGAACGCCAACCCAAAAAATAGAGGAACAACTAACTAAGTACTATGCACATCCAGTGAACATATAGAAGGTTTAGTATATATTTCAAAGTATATATGTTCAAACTATATATTTCTCCCACCCTTGTAAGCACCGCAGTAAACTGATACGTCGCACAGACGGCGCTGTGTGTGACGTGTGTGGGGAGGGGGGGAGGGGCAAGATTTCAGGGAGCATTTTAAGGGGGAAGGGAGAGGGAGGAAATGATTTTGGGGAGCAGGATGGGGGAGGGAAATTATTTGTGGGAATATGTGGGAAGGAGAGGCATTATTTGAAGAAGCAGAGTCTGTGGAGAGGGTGACTTAACTTGGGGAGCAGGTGAGGGTGAAGAGGACATGATTTGGGGGCAAATTTGGGGGGTGGGAAAGGGATTTGATTTGGGGGAGTAGTATGGGTGAAGGATACGAGTATTTTAGGAGCAGGGGGAGAGAGGTGGAGAGGGTGATAAGACTTGGGGGGGGGGAGCAGGAGAAGGGTTGGAGGATGGGTGGATTTCGTGAGAGCGGTGAAAGCGCTACGTTGTGGAGACAGAAAGAAAGGGTGAGGAAAATATTCACATAGGACAAAATTAATAATTATATATTGAAACACTTTGTTGACTAAATAGAAGAAGGAACGTAATTAACCAGCACAGAAGAAAGGACTTTGAAAGGAATTTGTAAGTTACAAGTAAAAATTATTGAAAACCGGGACCAGAGGGAGAGGTTTTTATAACAGCACGAAAATGGATGATAAGTGAAACTTATGTCGATTATTGGCTGGTTATAACAATGTCCTGGTTCTTGATCTTACTTGAATACTTGAAACAAAAAAGGCCGTAAAGCCTTATAGGCCATGACGAAATTTTCAATGTATATAACTGGGCAAGGTTTTGATGATATTTTACGGACAGTTCAGTTCCTTCATATGTAACTTATAACTTAACTTTTACAAACATTTTTGTTTGTTACAAATATTCTGTTTGTTACAAACATTTTGCTTGCTACAAACATTTTGCTTGCTACAAACATTTTGCTTGTTACAAACATTTTGTTGGTTACAAACATTTTGTTTGTTACAAATATTGTCTTACCGAAATACATTGCTCGAAGTAGGCCCTCTAATTTAGCTATGCAATAAACTCTCAGGTAAGCAACATTGCAATCATCAGAAGCGTAAATTAATAAACGAATATATTATAAAATAGATTCAACATAAATAGTATCGAGTTACCCGATAAAAAATAATTTATTGACGTTTTGAATAAACTTTCATCTTGAATACCGTTCAACAGATCTAGTTGGAACACTTACATGCATCCTCTAATCTTGAACTGAAATTAAAATAAAATGACTCAAAATTTAATGTATAAGATTTAAGTGGGAGCCAAAGCCTTGTCATGCGTATATAGCGTACGGGCGAATTGAGACGATGGAGGGAAGGCATAAAAACACGAACGAAATAAGAACAGATGCAGGGGGAGAACTATGCTGTGCAAGTATGGTGTAATTAGCAGCAAAAATCGATATACGAAAGAGGGATGAGTGTAGCACAAGCGATAGGAAAACGTTGGCAATTCTTAAAATGTACAATTTATTACGTAAGGCCATAACAAAATTAGTATTAAGCATGTTTGTTTTATCTGCCATATATAAGTGATACCTCATAACGATCATTAACAATTTTTAGTGAAATAACCGGCCTGATTATATTCGTAACTCAGCACATTACGTGTGTTAACTCATGTGCAACTTTAATTAGACATTTTATTGACACATTCATAATAATTACAATAATTCAAAAATAATTTTAAATAATTTAAAATCAATGATGAATTTTTATGAAAGTTCATTATCCCAACTACGAATGAAAAAAAGCGAATACATTGTAACCTGATTCATTTATTTGTATGCATGTGATGTTTATGAGTAAAACTATAACACGCGAAGACACAATTATATAGATTGTCTTAGACGATCGGCCATTTCAAATAAAGTAACGTATAATCATGTGAACCAAATGATTATAAATAATTTTCAAGTTCATGCATGTTGTCACATGCACTATTATTCTTTATAGTACCTACCATTAATGTTATTATTGGATATTGGTCGCGATAATGGCCCGATCTTCCTCCGCTGCACCTCAGTTCTTTCCTCAGAGGGTATTTTTTCTACTACAAGCGTCATCTCATTTGCGCATTGCATTAAATGCCCTCGCAAAACTTCCCTCATCCAAAGAAGGGATGAGATGCGATGGTGGAGTATAAAATGACCAAACTTAGAGGGTAGAATAGCGAAGCACAACTGAACTTTGTTGTGCTCATTGGTTCTATTGTTATAATATTTCTACTGATGCCATCTATACCTAGATACTTTGTGTGGTTACATATCTTTTGAAAGTTTTTGGTGCTGTACTAGCTATTTTTTTGTAGTTATGTGGTAAGTAGAAACTGTGACAATTAACTTGAATGCTTTCGTTGTCATTCTAGTTATTACGTGCATGTGATTACATATTAGTTTTAAGTTGTTATTGATGTTATGGATCCTCATATTCTTTGTTGTTACTTTCGATATTTTGTGAGGTGATATTTTATATTGCGGAAGTTTTTATTTCTCAGATTTTATGAAGTAACCTTCCTTAATTTGAGTGGTTACGCATGTTTTGAATGTTGTTGTTGTTCTAGTTACTGATCCGCATCTCTACAATGTTACTTCCACTGTTTATTTTATTTTTAATTTCTTGTACATCTCGATAATTATGACTTTAACACAGAATTTGCTCATATATTCGTCGCCATTTGCCCTGTATTGTTTAGTTAGAATCGGAAGTTTTTTACCCTTGATTGGAAAATACCACAATTGAGGTGGTGGAGAAAGTGATTCTAATTACTGGTTGGAATAAAATGTCTGATTGTCTTCGTTATTTGGCCGCAAATATCTAAAATGATAACACTAATCATTTTCTTACTTTACATACAACTTTCATACAAAACTTGTGTTCCTTCCAAACTGCTTTATACACTGAAACTGGAACTACGCATGTGTTCTGCTTTGAGCTTTGATTTCAAACGGAAATTTTCTCATTCATTGAATGGAATGAGCTGATTTAAGAATCATCGTATAAAATTTCTGGCAAATATTTCCATGAGAGTTTAATGAGTTCTTTTCGTTCACGTAGTGACTTCTTGACTTTTAGGAAACATCAATGTCAATAAAAAAGTGAATTGAATACCTGGGTAAAAGTTTATGGGGTACGAAACTTTGCGCGAGTTTTTTGGCGTTTTTCAAGAGTTGGCTTAAAATACAATCCTATTATTGATGCTATACGTAAAAATAGGTCCATTGCAACACCTAATAGCAGCCTTAATTAGAAAAGAGTTTAAGAAGGAATATTCCTTTCTCTGTTCTTTACGACGGTTATAAGCTTGTGAGTTATCGCGGATAGTTCTCATTTCCTATATAAATACAACCCAGAAGGTTTTCCTTTTGGATTTTCCGCGATTCGCTTTTAATCATAGCATTACCCTTACTCTTGTCTAATTTATTCCATGTCGCTGTGCCTTATTTTGCTCGGCGTGCATCTTATTTTTTATTGCAGTTCCCCTTGCACGGAATTTTGAGTTCTTTGTGTCGAGTCCACTTCAATTATCGTGTTAATGAAATCTTTCTGTCTCTTCTTATTAGATGCGTCGTGCACGCTTCATTAGACGCACAGCGCTGGTCTCTTTTGCCAAGACACTTTTAAGGGATCCGATCGCTTCTTATCTCAGCGCCTCGCTCGTGGCCGCGGTCTGATTTTGGTTAGGAAATTGTATCTCTTGCACATCCATTTTAAATTTCCATTCACAGACAATACAAATACAGAAATAAAATTATTCCATACTTTTACACTCGCAGCCTAGAAATGTATATATTGTGAGTAATTACAAAAAATAGTAAATTTAATCGTATGATGACTTCAGAGATGAGACCACCAAATTTAGTTTTAAATTGAGAGATTATAAATCGGGTCATAATTTCATTCCATGATTACTTTTATCGGAAAGAAAGAACTATTTAAAACTTGATTATATTCTGTATAATTAAGTGGATCATGCTTTCATGCCCGCATAAATTTATTCATCGAACAAGGATTGTAGTTTAATTTTCAAACAGTTCTCCGAGAAATGAAGCTTGAATTCCGTAATTTTTACCCAAAAACGTCCATTAGTGATAATAAGACAGTGATTTCAGCTCACAACCTTCACATCATTTGCAATTCAACCCACAGACTTTCTATCCACAGCGAAGAAAAACTCGGTTTACTTACAGGGCTTCGAACGCGGTCTCCTCCCGTGAAACGGACGGAGTTTCAGCGCGGACAGAAAGTGAAATCCTTTGCCTGTGCATCTAATGGAATCGGAGTTAAAATTTATTAGGGAAGATCACAACAAGATTAGCGTAATTGGCAAGTCCGAACGAAAAGTGCACGCGTGATCAGTAAGATGGATGCTTTCCTTAAAACTGATCTGCTATCTTAAACCTGAGTGAACTAATTACTTGCGAGCTGGAAAGGAGATTAACAGGTTTTGATGTATTTGCTTGAGATACGACGAGTGTTTAATGCAGTCCGCGCTGTGAACTGCTTAAAGTGAGCCGGGCATTTGCTTAATTCAATGCCTGAATATGCTTTAGTACTTCCAGTTAAACAACGTAAAATGGATCAACGTAATGTGGATTTATACCGAGTTCATATTTCTATTTATGTCGAGTATATAATTTTTGTACTCCGGAGAGCTAGAATGAATTCAAGGAAAGTAATTCAATAGTTTATGAAATTGTTAAAAGCCGAAAAAATTTCGCATCATAAATTTTCCATTGATAATTAATTTCTCAAATAATTGCGCAAATAATAAAAAATTTCTTTCCCGCGAAGGCTGCCTCAATTTTTCTCATCGTTGTACCTTCAAACTTTTGTGAAATTCTTTCGAAACGAAAAAGCATACACATCTTCACTGTTATTTATGGCAGCGTTCAAATTTGAAGCTTTAACAAGTCACAATATGGAACTTTTGGTAATGCCCAAATAACGTTAATTGTGACCACAGGCTGCACTGCAGAGTTGATTTCTGAAGAGGCCTTCAGCTCAGGCCTCTGCTGCATGCCTCTAGCGTAAGCCTCTAGTGCAACCCTCTAACATAGGCCTTGGCCACTAGCGTAAGCCTCCGTGTAAGCCTCTAGCATGAACACTTAAAGTAGGTCTTTAGTGTAGGCCTCTAGAGTGGACGTTTAGAGTAAGTCTCTACTGCAGTATTCTAGTGTAGGCCTCTGGCGTAAGTCTTTCTCTAGTTTTGGCCTCTATAGCGCACGCCTATGGCAGGGGCCTTTGACAGAGGCCTTTGCCAGGGGCGTCTGGCTGGGCCCCAGAAAAAGAATGGACGCATGTCTACAAGACCGAAGTCGGCATTGTGATTCTCGGCGCGCTTGTCTCGGCGATAACGACACGTAAATGGTCCGATAATTCGACGATGTCGAGCTGTTACGACAGTGCCAAGGTCTTGTTATGAACTCGAGAGTGTTGAGAAGACCGGGAGAAAGAATTAAGCAAATTCAAGGCTTTTTAATGGTCAGAACATTGACGTTATCGTGCCCACCTTGTGCTGACTGTGCTGTGAACTCGCTAAATTGTTGTAGAACTAAACATGAAAATTGAAAATGGGAAGCGCAAAAAGGCTTTTTTTAGCGCACTTTCTGATTTATGGAAAAAAATTACTATTGTGCTCGCCATGTCCGTCTGTCTGTCTGTCCGTCTGTCCGTCCGTGACCTCAAGTTTTCGTCGACGAGAAAATGCGCTCTCTGTCACTCACTGCAATGAGTACCGAGTTAAATTTTTTGTATATTTTGTTTGGTCGGAGCAGCGATGCAAACAACGCGTTTACACAAATTGACTTTTTAATGCACATGAATAGGTGTTACTGCCTGAGCTGTTTTTTCTTATTATAACGAACAAGAGAGGTACACAATTTCTCAAATTCTTCAAATGCAAAATTTTTCTTCCAAACACAAAACATCGGTTGGAGTAAAAAAATGGGCTTGCTTACTGACGGCCAGTATAAGTCTTCCTGCCTTTAAAAATGCAGTTTTTATTTAACCTAAACAAAAAATTATCGACATAATATTTCACTCGAAGTGATTGAAAATTTTGTTTCATAGCCCAAACAGAATAAGATTTATTTTTATTTCCATCATAACATATACGTTGTTAATTCAATTGTTTATTGCAATGTTATGCCATTCAAATATTTCCAAATTTTTCCAGAAACATTCAGGTTATTAAATAAAGTCAATAATTGAAGAAAATCTGGATTAACGAGAGTAAAGAGATATTTTTATCTTTACATATTTGCATATTTTTAATTGACTTTCTCAGGAAGTTTCAAGTACGAGTGAATTCATTGCTCGTTAATTAATTGTTATTTTTATTACAGTGAAAGCAACACGCGGTGGCTTCAGACAGTGACTACACGCTGCAGCTTCAGGCAGTGGCTACACGCTGCACCTTCAGGCAGTAGCTACACGCTGCACCTTCAGGCAGTAGCTACACGCTGCAGCTTCAGGCAGTGGCTACACGCTGCAGCTTCAGGCAGTGGCTACATGCACCTCATCGTGTGGCATACGCCATGGCGTCATGCTATGGCTGCGCTACGTGGCCACTCGCCATGGCATTATTCAGTGGCACGCGCCATTTAATCTACTTTATATTAAATTCATTCCCATTAATGACTTTCTCTTTTTCAGATAATAAATGTAATAGTAGGACATCAGGCATATATGTTATGTGTTCTCGTAATAAGTATCAGCAGATATGTGAAATTATTTGTCTAAAAATTCTGCATCCGAATCTATGATATTGAGCGTTAACAATAAAAGTTACGAAGTATGCATGGATTGACGACGATTTGCTGGCTTCTGATTGGCTGTGTCTTCGCATCATCGCAATCGTCAGCTCAAGGTGAGTTTTAGATTAACCTCATATTCATGTTAAAAATAGATAAAACTTTAATATAATCTTTGACTACAAATTTAAATTTTTTCATTTTGAATAAAAATATGTTTTTTTTTTGTTTATTAGTTTCATACGCTGAGTTGGAATGAGTCACAAATGTTTTCATTCTGTTTATGCGTGCATTTTTTAAGTGATGACGTTACTCATATAGCACATCAGTATAGGTAATGAAATATACTGTGACCAATTAGGGGACAGCGAAAAATAACGTTCACGTTTTTTGAACAAATAAAAAGTAAGAGAATTATAAATTTATTTAATATGTATTCGCCTGATTATAATTATTTAGAATTTTTTTTATTTCAAATAACTACTTTTTAGCAAATATTTCCTGGAGTGCTTAGTACGAATAAAAAATTGACGAACTTTTAAATTATGCAGTGAAAAATGGACTTTGTGATTTGCCTTGAGTCAATGCGACAAAAAACTAAGCCTTTTACCGCCTCTGCAGGCCTCCCAGCATAAAACTCAGAATATAAAAGGCTCATTTTTTTATGTGATCGCAAAAGGCGTCTTTTATCCCGGATGACCTCCAAGAGTTTTATTTGAATTTTTTGAGGCGCACGGAACTTAAAGACCGAGGTGGCGTTTGCAAGTCTTCCCTCTAACGGGACGGCTCAAAAATTCGTCTTAAATCCCCTCGTTTCCCTCAAGTTGAGCAAAACAAGTTCTTACTCTCAAAGAACTCATCAGACTCTCAACTTTTGGTCGCTCTCCTATAGTTTCTGCCATTTTTATTCGTATGGCTTTGATCGCGGTTCCAATTTTCTGGAAAGCATTTTTCTCAAGTTTTCCTTTGTGTATAGTAAAAAATTAAGCTTTGAGAGAATTTCCTAATTTTCGGCAAATCTTGTTAAGCTTGCATTTTTGGCATTCTTTGAGAAGTTCATTGTAAAGTCCCTCAAAACTTTCAAAGAGGAAAGCGGCGGCAAAACTCGCTTGACTTTTAAGAGTTCTTTTCTACGTGAATGCCTACTAGTGGGTATCCTTCAACTACAAAATCCAGATTTTTTTCTTCCAATAAAGTAAGCCAGATATTAGGTAGAAAGTCATGGATCAAAATTATTTTGGAGTTAAAATTTGTACCTTAATAGCCCAATAAGTAAAACGTAAAATTTTCGGCAAGTGCGTCAGTGCTTTCGGAAATTAAAAAAGGGAGATTATATTTATTCGTGTGGATATGAAGGTGTTTCCATTTCAAAAATGTACTTTTGGATAAGTGCAAAGAACATCATAGCTATACGTAAAATGAGATAAACGTTTGATTGACATTGATGGAGAAGTAAAAATGTGATATTGATGCGCTCATTGGCAGAGTTTTCTTTGATAATTTACCATCTTTTCCGCAGGCGACCGATGGGTTTGGCGCCGAGTCAGAAGCCCTTCAACTGCATTGGAACTTCCCTTCAATCCGTTCGAGCCTTTTCTATCTTCCGCTGACGAAGCGCGAGCTGCCAGCCCCCAAGCAGAATCTGGTTCACCAAGAATAGCTTTCTCGTCAACAGGTCCAGAAACGCTGGAGGCCATCAACCAAAGAGGCAATGTCGCTGTTCCGTTATCAAGTATTCCTGCAGATAATCCGGCAATTGCGGTTCCCATCTCAATTTCCAATCCGGAAACCTCCGGCAGAAACCGAAACCCAATTTCTTCAGTTGATCCACAAAGAGTGGTTCAGAAGAGTTTGGGTATTGCCCATTTCACCATACCGCGTCAGCTAGGTAGACCGGTGACAGTAACAACCCCTACGTCTAATCACCTGACAATTGACAATGAACCTCTCGTATCTTCCTATTCATCGTTAGACGCTGAAGTTTCAGGTTTCAGGGGTTTTCAAAACTCTGGCAACCGCAATGAGGAGCGAGCTCTCGTCAACCCTGCAGTTAGGAACGGATTGATAACGATTCCTATCCGTCCTCTTCCCATAGACATCTCCCAGTTACCTCTCGAATCCAATGAACGAGCTGAAGGAATTAAAAAACTTTGGTCATCATTGACGAGTAGAACCGAGTTCGCTCAAATATTCGAGACACTCGCTGGAACAAGAAATAACAACACAACTTCCAGAAACCGAGATCAGGTTCATGATTCGGAAACTGAAAATTCATCCATTCTACTCGATCCTCATAACTCAATTAGCGAGTCTTTGATTCGCGTCATCAATCCACCTCAGATTCAACTCCAACAGCAAATATTAAAACAGCAGCTACATCAGCAACAACTGCAGGAGCGGCTGCAACAAAGGCTGCAGGACCAATTCGAGGCTGCGATCCAACAGCAGGAGCTGAAAAAACATTTAGAGATCAAGAAACTCATTAGAGAAAGAGAAGAGCAGCAACGTATCGCCATACAGCAGAAAGTGGCAGAAGAACAGCAGCGCATCCAACAACGTGTGCAACGGGTCCTCCTCCAGCAACAACAAAAATTACAAGAACAGCAATTGCAAGAGAAGCAGAAAATCTTGCAGCAGCAACAGGGACCACCGTTAAATCAGCCAGCTGTTCATCTCGAAGCTGATGCATCCCGCATAAGTACTCAGACTCCAGGGCCTCTGAGCGTTGAGACCCAGAATGCGGGTGCCGAGGTTGACGAAACCTTAAGCTCTGCAACTCAGAATGCAGGGACCCATAGTACAAGTAGCCAGAGTGGAACCAAGCCCGAAGACATTATTCGCCAGAGGCACCTAGAGCTTGTTGCAAGGCTACAACGTCAGAAAACCCCCAAAACAGATAAAGAGATCAACAGAACTAATTCTCAACTCCTAGAACTACGGCGGCGTCTGCAAGAACAAGCACAACGTCAACAACTTCAAGAACAGCGCCAACGGCCAGCACAACGCACTACGGCTATCAGCACTACAGACCCCTCACCGGAGACAGTATCAACGTCATCCGAAGTTTCGCTAAACGCCGTTTCAGCGGTATATGAATAATTTGCATGCATTTAAAAGGGTTCTTTGCTCTAGCATTATTTTAATTATCTCTTATGATATTTTCGTACAATAACACGGAAATCGCAAAAAAGCTAACCATTTTTGTTAGTTTGTGCTTGACACTTGTTTCAATTGAATATGAGTTATTTGAATTTTAGCCTCTGATGAGATGTTTCTCAACTGTGTGTTAATACATAAACCCAAATTGAAAGATGTACTTTGAATCTAACTCTAAATTGTTGTAGACTATTTGCCTAATTGTCTAACTACTTATTCAACCTGCACCACACACTAAGAAAAAGTTATTAGTTTATCATCATCAGCCCTGATTAAAAAATTTCATAATAGAATCCTATAATTTATTTCAGGAGCGTCTGTCAATCGTATTCCCCCCTCGCCTGCCATCTCCCTCTCGTCTCCTCGCCCTCCCCGACCCTCAGGTATCAAGCCCTTCCATAACAATCACCACCAACAACACCACCATCACCAACAACACCAACACCATCACCACCACAACTAACAACAACATCAGCGGTGTTGGTCAGCTGCTGCAGGCGACAGTTCGGTTTCCCCAGCGCGAAGGATCTTTCGTTGTCAGAAAAATCAGGTATCTTCAAGTTGTATTCAATGTACTAATCATCACATTAGAAAGTATTGACTAGCATTCTCGGAGCATCCTGAGTATAGCAAAGTATTCTCAGAGTTTCCTGAGTATAGCAAAGTATTCTCAAAGTATCCTGAGTATAGCAAAGTATTCTCAGAGTTTCCTTAATATAGCATTGTATTCTGAGAGTGTCTTGAGAATCGCATAGTATGCTGAATTATTCTTCGCATCGCAAAGTATGCTGAAGTATTCTCTGCATCTCAAAGCATGCTGAAGTATTCTTCGCATCGCATATTTTGCTGAAGTATTTTTTCCATCTCAAGGCATGCTGAAGTATTCTTCGCATCGCATAGCATGCTGAAGTTTTCTTTGCATCGCACAGTATGCTGAAGTATTCTTCGCATCGCATAGCATGCTGAAGTTTTCTTTGCATCGCATTGAATGCTGAAGTATTCTTTCAATCTTACAGTATGCTAAAGTATTCATTGCATCGCATAGCATGCTGAAAAAATTTTGATTGTCTCATAGGAATTAGAGAATATCCTGAGTTTTATATAGTATTCTGAGAGTATCATGATTTTCGAATAGAATTCTGAGAATGTCTTAAGTACCACATAATATTACGAGACGAATTGATAATCGCATAGTTGTTAAATGAATTAAAATAATCTGGTTAAATACATGGATATTACTATCGTCAACGGCAACATGATGCAAAAGTAAATGTGAAGACAGGTCGACCTGTTACTTAATTAAGTTACATTCCAGTCATGATAAGCAGGATTGGTGTTTCGTTCCATTGGGATATCAACATGATTAGATAAGAGTACCTTTTAAACATACATTAAAAGTGTTTCGTTCCACTGAGATATCAACGTAATTAAATATGAGTACTTTTTGAATAAACATTAAATTTTTTCCCTTCAACTGAGAAATCAATATAATTACATATGAGTACCTTTTGATATTACATTAAAAGTTACGTTCCCCTTCGAGAAATATTTTCCTTCTGCAGGATATGTTTATCCTTGTTCTTGGTACATATATTAGTTGGATGCTTTAATTTTCACTTCATTAAAACAAACTTTCTTGATTATAGCGAATAATTAGTTAATTTTATGACTAGAGGGTAGCACCCTTTCTCAGGTAGGCATTTCTAAAGGCCTAATTCGTAATTACAGTCACCGTAATGAAGGGCTGCAAGACGACTGGCAACGTATTTAAATTTATATCTTAGCGTTGCACGAATATAATTCATGGGACGGCTGGTAATCACAGCGTAATTCATACTTGCGTTCACTAGCTGTGCATCTTAAGCAAATTACAAGCAAAGAGACAATGCTGTCGTCCACGAAGGACAGCATTGTCCTCCAAAATTAACAAAGAAGCAAATGTAAAGAGCGGCTAAAAGCTTGGTAGCCGCTTGCGTTGAAGGGACCTTTAATTAGAGGCAGTTTTAAGTTCAATTGCACCATTGCGGTCAGTCTAAGGAGAGTTAGAGATTTTTTGTGACTCAAAATTACCGAGAATTTCGGGAGGCGAATGTCACTGACTGGACTTCGTTGTCAGAAAAAAACTTTATCACTGTTGCCGAACACGCGAGTTAGACAATTTAGTGAATTACTTTAAAAGGGAAGAAAGCCAGTATTAGAGTAGTTATTAATAGTATTGGCAAGTTTTTTTGGGAATCAAAATTGCGGCAAGGTTTTCTGAAGAAGGCGTTTGATTTTTTTTTCAATTTAATTCATTCTTTTTTAAGCTCTATATAAATTTTATACGATATTTAGTTAACAGGTTTTTAATTGTTTAAGTTTTTGCAAGCAATTACACCTCATTTCCGCGAGTTATTTAAACTCTTTTTATATGGGTTCAAATACCTATTTGATAGGCCTACATACCTATTTTATATACATATAGTTTATATACTAATACCTTAAAGTTACGAACTCGTAAATCTCGCTCTAATATTTTCACCACAATTTTAGGCCTATATAGGGAACGAATCATAGCCAAAATGTATTTATTTAACACGAACCTAACCTCGTTGTTTCTTGGTCCTGATGTGTCGTGTCTTGTCACGCAGGCTACCCGGCAACTACATCGTGAACGTCGTCTTTGTTCCGGACGAACGCACAACTCTTCCGCCATCCGCTACACGACCGGATATCTCGGAATCCCCGTCCGCGCTCCGTCTTTTCCAGAGTCAGGAGGTTCAACAAAATGTGAGAGCTCTTAAGGATAAGAACGCGGTGCTAGTGGTCGAAGAACTTGTCCGAGATGGCAAGAACCTATACCTGATAAATACCATGGAGGGCGAGAGGGTGTATCCCAAAGAACCCAAGAAGCAAACGGATGAAGTAGAGGGCAACGTCTGGGCGGCCTTCGTTGGAGTTTTCAGTGATGAAACAAAGAAAAATTCCTCAAGAAACTCCTCTAATCGAGATGGAATTCCGACAATCAACAATTCTAGTAACACCGCAGGTATTTCCGCAGAAAGTTTGACTCCCATCATTAGGGACACAAGGACCCCTTTGGCCAAAGTAGGTTTTTCTCAGGTAGAACCACAGAATTTATCAGAACGACTAATAACTGGAAACGAATTTAGGAATTTTCAAGCGCCCCATGCATTTCTCGTAAAGTTTACAGGTCGAGAAGACTACAACCCTTACCCCTCTCTGGACTCCAGTGGTACCCCACAGGAGAGGTTCAACCTGGTGAATCAACCTGTACAACGTTTGCCATCATCTTCTGTCAGTACTCGTTTCTTCAACCCGTTCCATGAGCCAGTCAGCAAGTCGGTTAGCAAATCACTTCAAATTGAAAACCATGAAGAAAGCGCTTCCCTGGAACTTCAAATTCCAGTGGAACCCCGAGGGCTGGAGTCTACGCATTCCAGGTGGCCGTGGCCAGATGAAGTGCCGGAATCGCTGGACGATTTTTTCGACGGTGGACCGAGCAATTTCCGAACGACTCGTAGCTTAAGATAGATTATAAGTATAATGGTAGGTATATTTGTACAAAAGTAGTTTAAGGTTACTTCTCCTTTTGTTCCTATTGTTTCATTTTTAGTGTCTTATTTCCTGCACCCAAACATATATTGTTTCTGACGAGATATATTGTTATGATATATTGTTCTGACGCAAAAGAAAAGACTACCAAGGCCAGATGAAGCAGGCGTCTAATTATTATTAAAGTCCATTTGCAGCAAGATAAAATCTGCTTATGCAGTCGATTTTTTTTAATTTCAAATTGAACCTGATATGAGAAAAGTTGATTACTATATTCCCATTTATAAATTATCACGGTATAAAACATATTCCTAAAAAGTGATTTTAAATTTTTTCCATATGAAGACCCCGACATTCTCAACACTGTCTATCGTAGTTGTATTAATTAGGATCGATCATCTAACGCGCGAAATAGAGGAAGATTTAAATATCTTTTCGTGCATTGGCACTACTACACTACATAGTATTACACTACATACACTACATAGTATTACAGTTATTGAGGAATAAAAAAAATGAGTTTTGTGACAAAATTTTGACTTTCAACCATTCAAAAAAAATTATGATGCTTGTTGATTTGAATGCAACTGACTGTTATTTGTTTTGAATTTCGAAGTTCAATTTCATTGACATTGATAGGCGGTTTCTGCCCAAAATAAATTGTAACTTATTTATTTTGACTAATTTATTTTATATTTCATAATTATCTTATATGGAATTTTTGGAACATCAAATTTTCTAAATAAACAAAAACAGTGGGAGGGTCCCATTTAACAACAGTATACATAGCAAACGCGCAGCAATAAACCTAAGGTGAAACCATTACCTAATTAAGTATGAAATAAGGCTTCAATATCTTGTTCAATATTTAATTTGTATTACACAATAAATAGGCAAATCCATTCTCATTAAAATATAAAAAATATTTTATAACTTCTTTTTGTTTCCTTCAGACCAATTATGAAGCGAGGTAAAACTCTTACAACCGTTGTCTTACAGCTGACGACTCAATTACCGCGTGACGTGTAAATGTTCGCATAAAATTGTAATTAACTATTCAGCATAATTTCTTGGTTTAATACTTTCAGGGTTAGTTGAATTTTAGTTTTTTGATCATAAATTAACATTTAAACGGACTCTGTGCAGCTCACTTTAAACACGACTAAATTCACTGGTTAGTCGGAAAAATTGTAGAAAATAAATTTATCAGATGGAACCTTTTGGAATTGACTTCTAAAAAAATCGACCTACGCGGAATGCTCCTCGCAAGTCTCGGCTCCATTAAACTATTCAAAGGCTGACTTAATATTTGTGGAATTCTTGAATTGCAGAAGAAAAGCTTGGAGCGCGTCAATGATTCTGCCTTATTGAATTCCAAAGAAATTAACCCAGCATTCTTAATCGCTCTTTAAACGCATTTAGGTTTTGTCAGGATATCTCTGATATATAAATTGCATTTCCAACACACGTCTTTTATCTCGCCTAGTATAGGTAATGATGAAGGGAATATACTATAGATAATGATAGTATTTAATAATACAAAGTGGGTGCAAATGAATTTTATGTCAACATGTTTGTAAGAAAGAACACTGTAATGTTAATGGATAAGGCCTTGAACGTATTGTGAGGAAAGCGAACATTTTGGAATCAGAAAAAAAATTGTCTTAACTCCTGGACATTTAATTACTTAAAGTCGATTAGTGAGATGCAGATAAGGATTCAACTATTAAACCCCACTATTATTTAAAACTCACCTTCAAACACCTCCATTCCTGGCAAACGACTCTATTTACATTCAGACAACATAAAAACAAAATAAGATAAGGAATTAATTTATCTGAATGGAAGATTTACGCGACATTTCATAGAGGCTCGACGTCGGTTATAATTATTGTCCTAGGAATGACTGTTGTCGAGCATGAGCGAACGGCAGAGGGCGCTCGTATTGCCTCAATAATAGTGAAGCTCATCTTGTTGTAATTCCCGCGAGACTTGTAAAGGATCAAGCCCCAGTTTGCTCTCGAGTGCTCAGGATTAGATGAGTTTACGGAGCACGGCTACAGTGAGTTATGATGAGTTATGTCGTGAGTCATGGTTTGAGTGGAGTGCGCATAACGGGTTAGTGAGTGGAGTGCGTGTAACGGGTTAGTGAGTGGAGTGCGCATAACGGGTTAACGAGTGGAGTGCGTATAGCGAGTTAGCGAGTGGAGTGCGCATAACGGGTTAACGAGTGGAGTGCATATAACAAGTTAGTGAGTGGAGTGCGTATAACGGGTTAGAGAGTGGAGTGCGCATAACGAGTTAGCGAGTGGAGTGCGTATAGCGAGTTAGCGAGTGGAGTGCGCATAACGAGTTAGCGAGTGGAGTGCGTACAGCGAGTTAGAGAGTGGAGTGCGTATAGCGAGTTAGCGAGTGGAGTGCGTATAGCGAGTTAGCGAGTGGAGTGCGTATAGCGAGTTAGCGAGTGGAGTGCGTATAGCGAGTTAGAGAGTGGAGTGCGTATAGCGAGTTAGCGAGTGGAGTGCGCATAACGAGTTAGCGAGTGAAGTGCGCATAACGAGTTAGCGAGTGGAGTGCGTACAGGCTGTCTCTTATACACATCTAGATGTGTATAAGAGACAGTCTCAGTATTGCTGACACTGCCTGCCTGTCAGTATTGCTGACACTGCCAGCCTGTCAGTATTGCTGACACTACCAGCCTGTCAGAACTGCTGACACTGCCTGCCTGTCAGTATTGCTGACACTGCCAGCCTGTCAGCACTGCTGACACTGCCAGACTGACAGCAGCGAGGAAAGACGCTTGTAACTGACAAAGATTCGAATGATATTAAAAGAATGAATGATCCGGTGATGAATTGAAAGTATCTCTTGACAAAATAAGGAATGGATAATACGAAATCTGTTAAGTATTGTGAAGTAATAACGGACTCACGGTAATTAGTGTGAAATAACTTTTCGTATTTCTTCTTAAAATATTGAACATTTCTTGTGTCTGAGTTAAAAGAAGCTGATTAAGTGACCGAAAACAGTGAGGCTAGTCGTCCAAATAAAAAGAAACACACATCAAAAGAAGCCAAAATTCCTAGGATAGCTAATAAATTATAAATAAACAATGTAAAAATATATTATATGAAACTGATCGTATTTAAGACACCTATCAAAATAGTATTAAATCGATTATATTCTTGACTCGTGGATTCGGTTCTCTGACATATCTTTCGAATCATTTGTTGCGCAGATTTTTGGAAATGGTTTTGTAACTCTCTTAAATTAATTTGTGCCTTTATTAATTTTTCTTTGATTTTCTACACGTTCTACTGAACATTCATGTCATGGTGCTTCGTTTCTGATCGTTACCTTCACAAGCGCAAAAGTTGATCAGGTACACAAAAACTGGCGCAATGTGAGCACAAATTTTGTTTGCATTAATTTCCACAAGGATTTAACTCGTCAAATTTTGTGATTCCTTCGGAGCCTTCCTATTCCTTCGGAGCCTTCCTTCGTGTTCGTTGTTCATGTTCTTGTTCTTAGTGAAACCAGTAAACTCCCCTGCCTAACCATGCAGGCTTTTCCAGAAAACTATAACACTAGGATCCAAGATTTCGTCCAGATTTATACACTCAAATGCACTTAAATTCACTAACGTATTAATTAATTTCTCTGATATTTTAAAATATTTCTTAAGTAATATACATATATTGCCAAAAATCAGGCTTTATTAAAAAATCTATATCAACTCAGACCAAGCTTATTCTCTCCATTCATATTTTTTCGCGGTAATAAACTGACCTATTAATCTTGAAAAACCTTGAAGAGTTCTCGAATGTAACTTTAATCATCTGCAAAAATCTAGCAAAGAATAACTGAAATACTCTTACACTAACGTTATAATCCTGGGATATCCGTAATTTTTCTTCCGTGTAACCTAAATACTTTGTGCCGAAAATCCGGCAAATAACTACTGCAATAAACTCAAGTTTTAACCTTAAAACATCTTTAATATTTCTTACATGTAACCTAGATCTTTTGCTAAAAATCCAGGTTTTTGAAAAATCCATATCCCTAGGAAGGGTTTTGAGCTTCTTGAAGTGTTTGTGCCACACTCTGCCAACAACTCAACGACTCTTTGTTTTCGTCAACTCCAGATTTCATAAAAGTTTCTTTCTTGAATACAGAATCGAGGCGTAAATAAAATATTTAGTTTTATTGAGAAGTTCTATCTTATTCATGACACTGATTTATAGAGCTCCTGAAGCAATGTAAGGGCCTGGACTATATATTTTTGATTGTAAGATAACATGAAAAAATGGGGATCATATCAATAGGCGCACCATTTGCAAAATGTTAGAAAATTTTTGTGCCATTGACTTTTCAGTAATGCCTAATGAATAAGGCAACTTTTTTCAGGTTCATAGGTGAAAAATTTGTGAATATTTAAATAATCTTAACTATGAGTTTCACCAAAGCATTAATGGTTTTCCGATTAATTTGGCTGTTTTCAGCCTTCTTCTCCAATGTTCATACGAACCAGAATAAAAGTTTCCACTGTTTTGCAATTTTTTCGCCTCAATGCCATTTCTTCCTTTCTAGTTCCTTTTCTAGCTCCTCGCCTCAATCGAACCATGCTGCTTCGCTTACATTGTATGCACATATTTTACCCATTCATTCCAATCCCTCTTCTCACTCTTCCTTTCAATCTTTATACAGCATCATTCTTTACTCTCCCTCTCTCCCCTCAACTCCCTCTCAACGCTTTACCACTCACTCTTCCCTTCTTTACCCTCCCTCTTTTCCCTCGACTCCCTCTCAACGCTTCATCTCTCACTCTTCCCTTCTTTACCCTATCTCTCTTCCCCCAACCCTTTCTCGACGCTTCACTTCCACTTTTCCCTTCTTTACCCTCTCTCTCTTCCCTCAACTCTTCCTCAACGCTTCACCCCCATTCTTCCCTTCTCTCCTCTCCATCTAGCTCTTCCCACAACCCTTTCTTCCCCTCTTCACTTCCACTCCTCCCCTCTTTATTCTCCCACCTCCCTTTTCTCCCCACTTCCCCTCCCCTCCCCGTCCCCCCGGGGGTGAGAGCGCCAACACGCCTCATGATTAATAGGGTCAATCCCGGCGACGGCGGCAACCCGAACTGGGATGAACCCGGTGGTCGGCGGTGACGCTATATATATGCTTGCAGAGAACCATTATATTATATACAATAATATTAAATTATTTTATATAAATTATATGCTTGTAGTGAGCCATTATATTATATACAATAATATTAAATTATATTACTTACATTATATGCATGCAGTGAACCATTATATTATATACAATAATATTAAATTATATTACATAAATTATATGCTTGCAGTGAACCCTTATATTATATACAATAATATTAAATTATATTACATACATTATGTGCATGCACTGAACCATTATATATTGTGTAGTGAAGACCTGAGAACAGAATGAGGCGATTGAATGAAGCAAGAATAGGTAAAAATTATTGAAAACTATGGATAAAATATACGTGGTTATGCATAGAAGGATGACTTGTAGCATATTAGAAGAATTGCAAAAAGGAAATAAATAAATAAAGCTATTCTAAGTGAGGTCCAACTTTTTACTTCAAGTTTTTGTGTTTATCATAAATCTAACGGTTTACGCAATATGGGATACAGAATAAAAAATAGAAGAAAGAATTTAA